CAAGGACTTGAGTTCGATCCCTGGTACCAAAAAAAAAAAAAGCACACACAGCGGCATTAGTATTTTCACAGGGATATGCAGCTTCCAGTGCAGTCAGCTTTAGGAATTTTCATCACTCCCCAAAGAAATCCTGTACCTATCCACGTTCTTCACCATCCCTATGATCCCTCCCAAGCCCTGGAAGCCACTCATCTACTTTCTGTCTCTGTAGATTTGCCTGTTCTGGCCATTTCATATAAATGGAGTCATACAGCTAGGCTTGGTGGTGCCCTTCTGTAATCCCAACACTCGGGAAGGCTGAGGCAGGAGGATTGCTGAGTTTGAGGCCGGCCTGGGCTACATAGGGAGAAGGCATCTCATATAAAAAAAAAGTTCATCATACAATATGTGGCCTTTTATACCTAGCATCTTCCAATTAGCATCATGTTCTCCCCACCCCCACCCTCGGTACTGGGGATCCAACTCAGGACCTTACACTTATGAGACAGGCACGGTGCCACTGAGCTAAGTCCCCAACCCAATCATGTTCTTAAAGTTCATTCATGTTGTAGCCTGTATCAATACTTCATTTTTTTCATTGCCAAATAATATTCCATTGTGTGGGCATACCACATTTTTATTCATCCATCAGTACATGGATATTTGAGTTATTTCTACTTTCTGGTTATTATAAATAATGTTGCTGTAGCTGGGCATGGTGGCACACACTTGTAATCTTAGCTACTCAGCAGGCAAGAAGATTGTGAGTTCAAGACCAGTATGGGGAACTTAGTGAGATCCTGTCTCAAAATAAAAAATAAGAAGAGTCGGGGTGAGGATCCTCCTGCCTCAGCCTCCCAAGTGCTGGGATCACAGGTGTGCACTGCCACACCCAGCCATAATTGATACATTTTCCAATGTGACTCCAAAGTCAAGGTGGGCTTTGAAGGTAAACTAGCCCTGGTCTGGGGGCCGCGCCCCCAGGGCTCTGCCAAAGGCTTGGGCCCAGCTCACCCCAGAACCAAGGACAGCTGCCCAGGGGACGCTGGGAAGGACCCTCCCTCAACTGCCCAGGAAGGTTCTGGGAGTTCGTTAGGCACAAGCCAAGCCCGCACTCAGGAGCGCTTGGACCCCATCCTCACACCTGTGCACACACAGGACCTCGGAGGCTGCGGCTGCGCCGGATCAGGTCACCCCGCACTGTCCAGGGCCCAGTCCGCTCTCCGGGCAGCAGGACTCCCGCTTCGGGCCTCAGGTGGGCCACTCAGGCCCTCAGTTCTGCCTGCTCTGTTCCTTTGAGCAGCAGACGTGAAAACAGAAGACCAGCGTCCAGCGAGCGGGGCTCAGAGAACACTGCTGAGTGCCTGTAAAAGGCCACTTAGAGCCCATTGTTGGGTCAGGCAGGACGGTTGGTGGCTTCTGAATGCACTAATGGATGTGCATTACCAGTGTCCTTCCTGGCCACCACGTCACTCTCCCTACCTCCAGCCCGCTGGAGAACGCTGCATTCTTCTGGAAGAGCAGCAGTCATGCCTGAGACCCTGACAAAGGCATTTCCTCCGCAAAGGACCATTGTGCTAGCTACTGAGTCAGAACGGCGGCCGCTGGCACCTGGGCTCTGTCTGGAAGAAGTGGCTGCAGGGATGTCACCCAGGAGAGCCTGTGCTGCCTGTGATCTCCGTGAAGCCTTCAGCAAACACGCTGCCTCCAGGAAGTCCACCCCGGTCACCTTCAGTCTGAAAAGTGACTGGACAAGGCCGTGATTCTGAAAGGACACAGCTCTTCAAGGCAGCGCCCGGCTCAGAGCCAGGGAGCCCGGGAACTGGGCGTTTCCGCAAAGCCTGGGGCTTTGTGCTGAGCAGCCTGGGGTAGAGACACATTTCAGGGGCTCCAGGGCTCAGGCTGGCCGTGCCCAAGCCCACCAGCCCTGGAGGTAGCAGCCTGCAGAGGAGCCCTGGTAGTCAAGGGGCCCCCCTGGCCTTCTTTGGGAGTTGGAGTGGGCAGAGCAGAGAACTGGAGCCTGGAGCAGGCCTGGAGAGAAGACGGCTGGAAAGATGGAGGTTGGAGGGCTCTGCCGTGCTCACAGGGCTGCATTCTGTGTGGTCACTGCTACCCCCACAGAGCTCTGTTTCAGCCCTGGAAGGTGCCCCGGGCCCCAGAGCACCTGAGCCAGAGCTCAGAGGGGAGGTGCCCGCCCAGGTGCCAAGGCCTGTGGGCATCGGAGCTGGGGCTGGAGCCCGGATCGTCTTGCCCCTCTTCTCCCTCCACCGGGGCTCTGCTTTGGCTCCGAGGGTGCTGGAAGCCAATTCCAGGGAGAGGTCTGGGCCTGGGCTCAGCCCAGGGCCTCCCCCTTCTGCTCCGCCCCCATCCAGACCATCCGGGCTGTGGCTGCTACACTAACGCTGTGCATTAGCAGATAAAAGCAGTCTCAAGGGTCTCTTCCTGAGGCCCCTTTGGCTGTAATGAAGCAAATTAAAACCCCATTCAGAGGTCAATTGAAATCTCTTTCATTCCAGTTCTCTGCACAAATTGATTCCTCTTTGCCCTTGGGGTCAAACTGAAGGCCCGAAGGGGCCCAGCTGTGCCTGGAACGGGAGCAGCTCAGTGAAAGGCTTGTGTGTGTCCGGGTGAAGCAGGAGTGGGATTCTTCCCATTCCCTGGGCCATCTGGGTCACCAGGGACCCTGTCCTCTCTAGTGCCGTGGACTTCAGGGCCCTTTTCTGGAGATGAGCTCCACACCTGTCCCCAAAGCCCACCAGCCTCCCTGCAGAGGAACTTTGAACTTGTGTTTGCGCTGATGACCTTGGTGGCAGTTAGGATCCCTCACACCTGTGTGAACCCTCTCAAACTCTGCGAGGCGGTGCTTTGAGTGAGACCAGAGCAACTCAGAGAGGTTAAGTAACTTGCTCAAGGTCACAGAGCTTGCTGGCTGTTCCCGTCTCCAAACACATTCAGCCCTAAATTAACCTAGTTGACAAGGTAAAGGGCAGCAGTCTTATTGTAGATAGGCAGTACAGGCAGTTGACAGTGAAAAGGACAATCTAGACACATTCATTGAAGGCCAGGATTGTAAAAGAAGAGAGACTTCTTTTCACTTGCCATAGCATGAATAGCAGTGATTGATATTCTAAACAGGTATCAATCACCTGGGTGAGGGCCAAGACCTTCCAGGAAAGGTCCCTGACCCACCCCAGACCAAAAATCCTTGCTCCTTCTTTGTGTGCTTGCTAAGTGACTTGCTTCCCCATTGGATCCCCATTTAATCCATAACACCTAAGCGACTATACTTGTCTCATTGGTTGATCATAGTTTTGTCTCACCTCATGTCCACCTTGTGATTTCTCATTGGATAAATATTACCTAAGCGACTGTACTTGCAAACTTATTAGTTGACTACAGTTTTGTCCCACTTTGACCCTGCCTCACCTTGTGGCTTCGTCCCATAAAACACCTCTGAGAAGCAGGGTCGGCGGGTAACACATTTTCTGGTCCCCCTTCTATCTCTCTTGTACAGAAGCTTTCTTTCTCTCAATAAATCTTTCCTACTCTTAACCACCATTGTTCCTAGAATTCATTCTTCAATTTTAGAGAACACGAACTTGCCATTTCAGATATCTGCTAGGTTTGGGAGTTACATCTATTCTCCCTACATCAATCTGACCCTAAGATGAAAACAAACAAAAAAACCACATTCAAAACATTCAAAGAATTTTTTAGGCAAAACGTCTCAAATCACTCATTTAAAAAATTATTTTGCAGTTTTTAAGTTTTAGTTTTCATTAGTACGTGTTTGCAGCATATAATGATTACATCCGTCTTGGAGAACTGGTACATGTACATAACATGTCTTAATTCTCATTATTTCCTAGGTTACCCATCTTTGGTTTTTGGTTTTTTTGGGTACTGGGGATCGAACTTGGGACCTTGCGCTTTCGAGGCACTCAGCGGCACCACTGAGGTAAATCCCCAGCCCTCAGTTACCCATCTTAAAGGACTTCAAAGGCATCCCCACCGCAGCTTGTAGGGTCCACTCCTCGAAAGGCTGCTGGCCTCCCCTTCCTCTCATTCTCCAGTAGCTTCTGGAACTCTCTTATCTTTTCCTGCCCAGGACACCCGCACTCTCTCTTCTGCTAAAAATCTTCTGTCCTCCCCTTCCCCATCTCCTCCTCTGCTTTCTTCATTGAATTTATCACCCTTCAGAATTACTCCGTGACGGCACCGTTACCGTTCTCCCCGCCAGAGCTGAGCCTTTGGTGAGCAGGCCCGGTGTGGCCTGGCGGGAGAAGGGCCCGCAGACCTTGTGGTGTGAACGCACGCACGCCGGAGCCAAGTCTGGGCTTGCCAGGTGAGCACTTTGCCCACACCTGGCCGCTTCGCACTGCTGAGTGCAGCACCCCTGACTGCCGGGCCTGGGTGGGGCTTCGGTGCTAATGCATCTAAGCCATTCTCTGCCCCAAGACCCACCTGCTTCCCTGTCTTCCCAGGTCTGTCACTTAAATGCTGCCAGTTTTTTCCTCCCCAGCATCCAGCTCACCCCAAGGTCTTCCCACTGTCCTTGCCCGACGCGTCCTTCCCAGGGACACTGGGGCTGTCCCTCTCCTCTCTCGCCAGTGTCTCTCTTACCTTGTCCTCCTTCCCTCTACCCTAGGAGATCGCCCACCCACCTTCTCCTCCATCACTTCTCCCCCAGGTGCTGTCAGGCCGTCTGTCCCCCTCGGCAGGAAGGAGGCCCCTCTCCCGGCCTCTGCAGCACCCTGGGCAGGTGCTCCCTGCAGCCAACCTGCAGACCAGGGCCTCAGTCTCCCCTCTTCTTACCCTTGAGAGGGGCGCTAATGGCAGGGCCAGAAGCTTTGGACTTAGGTTGGGATTGTGAGGGCCAGCGCCACCCCAGAGCTGTCCTTGGCCCTGTGGCCGCCAGGGAGAGGCCTCTGGAAGCGCATCACACACCCCTCACCCCACATCCTGCACCACCCGCAGCCCCACCTCCCCATGTTCACATGAAGAGGCCAGCGCTGCGTCATTTCTTTTTTTATTTTTTTAAATTTTATTTTAGTGCTGCGTCATTTCAAAGCAGGCCGCCTCCCTGTTTCAGGCTCCTCCGCAGAGGAGGGTGAGGTGGGGTGGGGTTGGGAGAATCACAAGCTTTGGAAACTGCCTGGAGAGGGGCCCCTTCGTCTCAAGGATGGAGTCTGTGTGAGCCAGCTCAGGCTGCCGGGCGCAGGTGGATGGCAGGCCTTTAAGGGCTCTCCTCTCCCAGTGAACTGTTCCCGGGACCCGAAAGCTGGGTGAGGCTGCCCCCCTCCTCCCCATCAAGACTGGGCTCTGCCAGCCCCACCCACGTGCTGTCCTCCCTGGCCGGTGGCCACCTCTGCACCTGCCTTTGTAAGGCACTCACACCCAGGTGACATCTCTGTTCCAATTAAACCCTCAAAGGTGAAAAGCTGCGCTGACGAGAGCCGCCCTGTCCTGCACCCACGGCCACCTGGCAAGACAGCAGCCAGGTGTGGGGGCCTCACCCGGCCCCTGAGCCTGCACAGGCGAGGGCCTCGTGTGACTCACCCAACAGGCTCCAACCCTGGGCTGCTCCTTCCCTCCCTCCCTCCCCTCCTGTCTCCTTCCTTCCCAGCCTCCTTCCCGCCAGCACTCCGAGGACATGGAGGAGAGGGGCTGGCGCTTGTGTGAGGCTAACCAGGGTCCAGGGCCTGCCAGGAGAGCGGCCCACACTCTACCCCACTGAGTTCCTGTGGCAGGCAGTGGCTGAGCCTAAGTGAAAAACAAACAGGAGTTTTGAACTCCTGAAATACTACAGGGAGGAGGCAAGTGAGGAGACTGCTGTTATGGGAGAGGAAAGGTAACACAGAGAAGGGGCAGGAGCCAGTGAGAAGGCCCCAGGAGGCGGCTCACCGGCTCACACCCCACCGCTGCTGTGACTGGAGCACAGTGCTTCCCCCGCTTCCCCTGCTGCGCCCCCAGGCCCCGCCTGTGCACCTCCTGGCCTTTCTTCACCCTGGCATGGCACAGGGAGGTTCCCACTGTTGGGGGACGGGTCGTTCCTGTGCATCCAATCTCTGATCTGCTTAAGATGTGGAGTATTTGGCTTTTCTTGGCCTTGTGTGCAGCGCGGGTTTCTGCTCCTCACCGGCTTATTCCTCCCAGCGTGTGGTCGGCTGTCGGCTCCTTCAGCCTGCAGGACCTCCACCCCTTACACTCACCACTGGATTTCTAGAAAGAGTTGTCTTGTTTTATGACAAGACCAAAGCGAGAAATAAGTACATCTGCAAAAATAATGGAGCGCATCTCTTCTACTAATAGAATAAGATGATGATCAGAAAGGATGCAGGTATGCAAATGACACGGAATATCTGAGCAACCACAGATATCTGTTCTTTCAATGTGTGCAGGAAACATGAAGATCATGGATCATAAGTCCATTTATTACGCAAGCCTTGAAAAATTTCTAAGGCCTGAAATCAAACATATTCTCTGACCAAAGGGAAATTGAGCTAGAAATTACTTTCAAAACATATCTAAAAAATCCCAAATGTTTGGAAGTTAACTGGAATGTTTCTCAGTAATCCACAGGTCAAAGAAGACATCTCAATGAAAAGAAGTTATTTGAACTGAATGGTAATGATAATATGGCATATCAAAATGTGTTAGCCATATCTGTATATATTAAGGAAATAAAGGCTGAATATCAGTCATCTAGGTAAACATAATTATTTAATGTCCAACTTAACAGTATAGAAAAAGCATTGCTAATTAAATCCATGGAATGTAGAAGGCAAGAAATAATAAGAGTAGAAATTTCAAAAATAGAAAGAAGTGTATATACAATAGAGAAAATTAATAAAACTAAGTTGATTCTTATAAAAGACTAATAGGATAAGCCCATAAGAAAACTCATTTAAAAAGAGAGAAGATATAAATTACCAACGTCAGAAGTGAGGGAGCCATAACTACAGATTCCTTAGATGCTAAGAAGATATAATTTTAAACCAATAAATTAAAGAGTTTAGATGAACAAATTCCTAGAAATATACTTTTTTTTTGGTACCAGGGATCGAACTCAGGACCTTGTGCTTGTGAGGCAGGCACAGCACCACTGAGCTAATTCCTGGCCCCAGAAATATACGTCTTACTAAAATCGACACAAGAGGAAATAGACAAAGGGAATTGTGCTATTTGTGACACTGAATCTATAATTAAAAACTGTTCACCAAGCAAACTTAAAGACCTAGATGGCATCACTGATGAACCATGTAAGGAAGAGATCATACCATTGTACACAAATTCTGCTGCATTTTAATAATGGAGGGAGGGATTTCCTCCCTTTGTTTAATGAGAGCAGCATAATTTTGATACCAAAATCTGAGAGGAATTCCACAAGAAGGAAAAATTACAGGCCAATCTCACAAACATAGGAGCAAAAGTCTGAAATGAAATATTAGCAATCTCCCAGTGCTGTGGAAAGATAACACTATAATAAAACCTAGGAAGGCATAGTAGGTTTGACATTGAAAAATCAGCAAAGGGCAGTGGTGTATCTTTCCTGGTGGCATCTGCAGAAGTTAGAGTTCATTGAGTGGCCGGAAGCCACTTTTATATTTAGTGGCTATGGTGGTGACAGTGTCACCTGTTCCTGGTACTGGTCTGATTTTCTTTCTCCACTGGAGTCCAGTGGCCTGATTTTGGCCATGGTTCCAGCCACCCTTCACCCCTGCCTGCCTTTAGATCCCAGTTTCCCAGCTTGCCTTGGTAAACATGGCCTGTGGTTCCCAGTGTGGGCAGTGGCCTTCACTCACATCCATCAAAGCAGGTTCCTCTGGGTGTAACTAACAACCCAGCTGACAGAGCAGGACTGAAGCTGGGCCACTCTGAACTATTCCTGCTCTGATTGAATGCTACCACCAGCTGCCTCCTAAGGTTATAGAAATAATACAAAGAAACTCTGGCTGTGGTGGTGTAGGCTGAGGCAGGAGGATCGAAAGTTCGAACCTAGCCTAGGCAACTTAGTCACTTAGGGAGACCCTATCTTGAAATAAAAAATTTTACAAAGGGCTGGGGATATAGCTTAGTGTGAAGATCTTGGGTTTGATCCTCAGTACCACCACCACCACCAGTGATAATAATAACAACAACAACAACAACAACAATGATAATAAGGAGGAGGAGAAGGAAAAGAAGAAAAAGAAGAAGGAGGAGGAGGAAGAGGTGAAGGAGGAAGAGGAAATCGCCATTTGATTGAAAGAACTCACAAGCCTGGTGGTGGCAGGAACAGGGGCGAGTGGGGAGGAGAGGACAGCAGTGAGCTAGTCCAGGCCCTGCAGACGACATGTGCAGATGAGATGGGGCTGAGGTCTGTGAAGAACAGCACGGCCTTGGCAGGAAGAATGACCAAAGGGGGCTTAAGACAAAGGGGCAAGCCGAACCTTAAGGCAAGCCCTCGTTTCTGCTGCTGGGAGGGAGGAAGGGTGTTCAGCTGCAGGAGCAGCTTGGACAGACAAGAGCAGTACCACAGAGTGTGAACATCGGGACGGCTGCACGCCAGGATGCGAGATGAGCCTGGGAGGCCCTTGGAAGAGGCCAGGCCAGGCGAGAGGCACCTTGATCATGTTAGAGGAGCTTCGTTCCATCTTATGGAGCAAAAGGGAAAGGTTGCTGAACATTGTCAGTGTTACCATCCAGAAAAGCTGAGTTCTCAAGGGAGCCTTGGGACTGAACACCTTCCTGCAGCTGGAGAGTAACTCGCCTGGGCCTGAGCCCCAGTTCAGCCCCAGGCCTCCCTGCCTCAGGCATCACTCCTCACAGCTGGGTTTGTCCGGGGTCAGTAGTTCCCCCATTTCGGGCTCCAGTGCTGCCCTTTCCCTGTCCTGACATGTGAGCCTAGTGTCAAGCCAGACTCCAGGGCTGGGCCAGATGTCCACAGAGGGTGGAAGAAGGGCCGTAGGGCAAGGCCTTAGCTGCCCTCCCCAGAGTGCCACCTTCCAGTGAACTGAACGATGCTAAGTGGCTTTCAGGGCATAGAGAGGAGCCTGCTCCGGCCTAGGACTGGGGAGCAGCCTAGGGTGCAGTGGAGTTCACCTCCCACCTGCGGGAAGCTGTCCTGGGGCCCAGGAGGGCGGCTCCTGACTCCACTCAGAGCCCCGAAGTGGAACAGAGAGAGACTGCCATTCCTCACCAGGTCACCAGGTCCCAACGCTGGGCAAATCGGAGGCGTGGCAAATGCAGCCCCTCGGGGGTGGTATTCGCCTCAAATGCCAGGAGGCAGGTGCAGCTCCGGACCCTGTCCTCGGCACCCCGGGAGGCGCGCGGCCGGCCCACACCGGGGTGCTAAGCCCTGTGCCCTCAGCGGACAGGAAGCCACGCCTTCGGTTCAGTTCTGACCACCAGCTGCCCGGGCCCTCGCAGCCCCCGCCGTCCAGGGCCCCCCTTCCCTCGCCGGGGAGTCGCTTTTGCGCAGCAGAAACGCTGCGGGGAAGGTCAGGGCCAGCCCTGCACGTATATAAGGAGCCCGAGAGCGACAGAGGCCAGCGGCAGAGGAGCCGGGGAGAAGGGACGCGAGCCGCCAGAGCCCGGGGCCCAGAGCAGCGCCCAGCACAGGTAGGGGCGCCGCGGGCCGAGCTCTGGCCGAACTTTCTGGGCCGGCAGAGCCGCGAGCTCGGCGCCGGGACGGTGGACGGCGGGCGAAGGGCCCGAGGGCGGCTGCCCTCGGGTGGGGACCCCGGGCCCGGGCGGCTGGGACCCCAGACGCCCCGCGCCCCGAGGGAGGTGCTCGGAGAGGCCCCGAGGCTCCTTTCCTCGGCTTCCTGGATCTGTCGGGTCTTCAAAGTAAGGCACCACGAACCCGGCGCGAAGCAAGGCTGGAAACGGGGCGGGAAAGGGCTGCCGAGGGCGCTGCTTGCACCACAGGCTTGCAGCCGAAGGCCCTGAACCCTCGCTTCCCTGCCGCCTGGGCGCCGGGGCGGGCGCGCTTCGGGGTCACCAGGTCCGGGCGGAGCTGTCCGCGGTCCTGAAACGCCGCACGGCGCCGGGCCCATCCCGAGCGTCTGACCCTCCACGCTCCTCGCGTGTACCCCAGGCCCGCGTGGCTTCCACAGAATGGCTGGAAGGGGCCAGGGGAAATAAAAGTGTGCATTTGCTTCATTGGCTTATAGAACTAGAGATTAGGGCTCCTTTAATGACTTCCTTTTTCATGGCACTTTCGCTGTAGGACTTGACAGAGGCGCCTTACGGCGCAAGGACGAAACTGCCTCTCTGCCCCTCCAACTTTTGCAGAAGGGGTTGGCCGACTTAGATTCGCTGTCACAGTGGTTTAGTTCAGGCTCCCCCCGCATGAAGTCCCGATTAGTGTAGTTCTATTATAAAGAATGTCAAGATTAACACACTCTAAGTTTCCGTTTTCCAGGGCTTTCAATTATTGGGTTATTATACCCTCCACTTAGCAACAACAAAAACAGTCCATGTGGCATGTAGCCCAGGGTTTTGTTACTTTTTAAAGATGACACAAATGAGATAATATTTATTATAGAAAGATGAAAAATACACTAACCAGGCAAGCTGCTTTCAGGAAACCGTCTAACGTTTTACAAATAGACCAGGTGTTCCAGGGGGAGGGGCGTGGGAAGGTTACTGTGTTGCACAAGGCAGCCATCATGGCAGAAGGAGAGAAGCTCTCCCGGGGGCTCTCCAGGAAAGCGTGAAATCCTGATGGAGGCCTTTGGAAAACGGAAGTCATTCCAGCATGGCCAGTTTTAGGAAGTAGAATGCAGCTGAGGGGCTGAGTGTGGCGGCACACGCCTGTAATCCACACCTGGACTCTGGGAAGCTGAGGCAGGAGAACTGCACGTTCAAGCCCACCCTGAGCAACCTAGTCACTGAGACCGTGTCTCAAATTTAAAAATAAAGAAAGTCTGGAGATGCAGCTCAGTGTGAAGGCCCTGGAATCAATCTCTAGTACACGCACACACACAGAGTTGAGGAGACTGTCAGATCTGTATGATTTTTCTCTAACATGTTGTTTTATACTACCTACCTTTTTTCTGCCTCTCCTGTAACGGCTGGATCTAATTCTGACCTGAATGTGCCGCGAGATTCAGCGCTCTGATCTAATTGGCTTGTTCACCAAGTTCAGGCCGCCTGGTTGAACTGGAGCAGGAGCAAACTATCCTCGGAGCAGCCTGTCCCGCGATCCGTAGGGAGCGAACAGCAACGCCGGCTGACCAACGCTCTCGCTGCCGTCCCTTAAGCAGAGGTTGCCGGGCCGGCGCCCTGGCTGCCAGCGCCATCTAATGGCCGCTCTGAGATTACTCGGCCCAAGCCGGGCCATCTTTCGGAAAAGACACCGGAGGCGGGCCAGCTCCTGAGGAAGGGGCAGGGTGTGGCAGAGAGAGGGAAGTGGCTTCCTGAAGTGGACAAGGAGGAGAGGGAGGACTTTTTCACTTCCACAGCCTTCCCCCAGAAAGATCTGGTCCACATCTCTCCGAAGGAGAGCTTTCCCCACCCCCTTTAAAGTTAGTGTGTGTTTGTGATAACTGGTATGTATGTATGCATACGGTATCCTCATCCTTTTTACTCCCGCTTCCCCTCCCTTCTGAGATTTCTTTTAGCCAAACTTATTTTAAAGTGTAAATGTTCATTAGGAGTGACAAGACACTAAAGTCATCCACACCTTAATTATGAATACTTTTTTTTTTCTACTGGGGATCGAACTTGGGATCTTGCAATTTCGAGGCAGGGGGTGGAACCACTGAGCTAAATCCCCAGCCCTATGATGAATACTTTTCTCCTCTAATTAGATTTCTTTCTAACAGTGGGTGGAGAAGATCTGAAATCCAAAATGACTGTAGAGCTGGTGGTGAGCTGATCACAGGTCAGGTGTGGTTCCAGTCCAGCTGGGTGAGGGGGACACAGCAATATAAGAGCTAGTGGTGCTGGGCACAGGGCTGGGCACCAGGAGCCACAGGCACCATGGATGCCCCTCTCCCATTTCCCCTGGACCTCTTGACCCAGCATCTGCCCAGAGGTGACACCTTGGATTCTTCTGTAGTATCTCCTATGGCTGCTCACGTGGGAGCTTAGCTCCCTTGCAGTCTCTCTGCCCGTATTTCCCCCTCAGCACCTCCATTCTTTTCAAGCCCACCCATTTGGGACTACGATATGCGAGAGACTCAGGGACAAGAGGTCTGATGTGAAGGAGCCAGTTTTAGGAGAATTAGCTTTAACACTAAACCTCTCCAAACTTACTAGTCTAGGAAATAGGGATCAACTGAAAGACTCTGCACAGGACATCAAATTGGGTTGTATGAGGCTTTGACTAATAGGCTTGGAATTTTAAGTGTCTTTATGTAAGTCTAATATTCACGGGGAGGCAGTGTTTCAGAGGAATGATAGGATGCTGGTGGAGGACAGGAATTTTGGAGTCCTTTGTCTGTCTCAAGTTATTCCCCCCCTTGCATCTGGAGTGCTAGGATTACAGCCTCATGGAAGCAGTGAAATAAATCTCTGTGCTGAAAGCAGAATTTAGCCTTACCTTGTTATGAATACAAATGTCATTGTCTCTCATGAGCTTCAGATTCCTCATCTCTCAAATGAATGGCTGTACCAAGCGATTCCCCCAAAGAGCTTCCATTTCCAGCCTCTGTAGGGCCCTGGTTTTAGCAGAGATAAGGGGGAAATGGTCATAGTTTTCCTAGGTCCTGTTCCTCTCCTCCCCACAACTCCACCTTGTACATCTCTCATCTTCTCAGTGCTGCTCCTGACCTCAAAAAGCCTTGGACTCCACAAGCAAGTGCTGTTGGTATTGGCTTGCAGTCCTTCCTGGTGAGTGTCCAACATTGTTCTGCTCCTTGCAGGGGTCCCACCAATCTTGTTTGCCTCTGCAGAGCCTCAGCCTGCCACCCGGAAGATGCCGAGTTCATGCTACAGCCGCTCGGGGGCCCTGCTGCTGGCCTTGTTACTTCAGGCCTCCATGGAAGTTCGTGGCTGGTGCCTGGAGAGCAGCCAGTGTCAGGACCTCACCACAGAAAGCAACCTGCTGGTATGTGGGCTGTGGATACCACCTTGGTTTGGGCATCAAGTGGGACTGGGGCTGGGACAGCTCAAAAGAAAGGGGTGTGGGAAGGGGAAATTCATTTCCATTAACTGGGGAGTGACTCAACCCAGGGCAGAAGCAGAACTTTGCTGTGACCTCAAAATTGAGGCAATGAGAGGAAGCAGCAGCTTCAGGGAGAAGACTGGTCCACAGCTTCTGCTTGACTATCCTCACTGTCTGCCCTGTCTCCTAGGGAGAGCCCACCCTACTGAAACCAGTTAGAGATAGTGCCATAACAACAATAATGGCTCCATCAACTGATACCATGCCTTCAACCTTTTAGCCCCCAAATCATTCATTTTTAAATAGCCTCACATCACCTACTATTTTTACTCCATATATTTTCCCCCTTTATCTGCTACCAGTTACAAAGCCAGCTAAGTATTTCCATGAACATGTCTAGAGGGAGAAGGAAAGGCCAAGGTATCTGTTTTTGGTAATGGTGCCAAATATCTTATGCTTCTCTTTCTCCTGGAGGACTGGCCTTCCTCTGCAGTCTTTCCAGAAGCATGGCAGGCTGGTGCTTCCTTCAGGTCACCACAAGGGTGTGTGTGTGTGTGTGTGTGCGCGCACACGTGTGCATGTTCAGGGCCTGCCAAGGGAGGGCAAAATACCCACACTACATCTTCAGTGTTTTACCAATAGAGAAGCTGAGTTAAGGTGAAGGAAGAGATTTCCTCAAAGATACAGAGCAGTTTTCATGTATGATATAAAAGAGAAATAAAAAGAGTCCAGGGAATTCTGCTGAATTTTTTAGATAGACCCAAGAGGCTTTTGATTTGAGACACTCACTCCACAGCCTCTCTTGCTGAGAGCTCACTGGGGAAGGTGCACTGGACACCGTCAGAGCCCATGGGTTCTAGTCCCACTTCTGTCACCAATGAGTAGCAGGGACAAGGCTCTTTCATCTCCACAAGCCTCCCATTCCATTATCGGTTCAAGGGAGGCAAGTCTAAACTAGGTAGTTTTAATTTTCCACCGTTAACATTTTGCAGTGTCAATAATTTTAAATACGTGCAGTAAAAAACTCCCAACTCAGAAGAGTGGGTGGGATCCTTCTGTTTTTTCCTCCGAGGTTCCCAGGGACTGAACCGCAGCCAATGGACCATTTTCCTAAGCAAACAGTGTTTTCGCAATTGAATCCTCTAGGGACAGGGAACAGAGATACAGGCTCCACGGCACATGCCATGAAAATAACCCTAGTTTTGCATCTTTCCCTCTAATCTCAATGAGGTGAAGGGAAATGAATAATCCTGTCCCAAAGTTCACTGCCAGGGGAAAGTACAAGATTAGCTGGGAAGACTCAGAAGAGCAAGAGAAAATGGCCCAGTGGGAAGTTTTTGAGACATGGTGCAGAGATAGGGCTGGGTAAAGCATGGAGTAGTTTTGCAGAGTAAGATCGAAGCACTGTTGTAAAATACAGGCAGGCCCTCGAGGGCGGACTTCCATTACCCAGATCCTCCTCTAAATTTCAGCCCCATGTCTTTCCTGGACTCGAATGGAACAATATCTATTTGCTCAATAGTCATTAAGTCCCAACAACTACCACCCGTCTGCTTTTGGGAAACATTTCTTATATATCAGGCATATAATGCTAAGAAACTACTCCCCAGAGGCGGGTAAGGACCAACAAGTGAGCCATGGAATGGGATGGCGCGTTTGCGGGGATCCCCAGAGGGACGCTGGGGTACAGGGGCAAGTGAGGCAGATGACGTCCGTGGGTGCAGAGAAACCTGGTGGCCCGCATACTGGGCAGGGCGGCCTCGAGGTGAAACATGTGGCGCATGTGGCAGAGGGGAGGCAGCCAGAGGGCCGCCCCTCCTCATGGCCTGCGCTCCCCCCAGGCGTGCATCAGGGTCTGCAAACCCGACCTCTCCGCGGAGACGCCAATGTTTCCGGGCAACGGCGACGAGCAGCGGCTGACGGAGAACCCCCGGAAGTACGTCATGGGCCACTTCCGCTGGGACCGCTTCGGCCGCCGGAACAGCAGCCGGGGCGGCGGCGTGAACCACAAGCGTGAGGAGGAGGTTGCGGCGGGCGAAGGCCGCGTCCCGCTGCCCATTGGCGACCCCGGGTTCCGCGGCGATGGCCCCGAGCCGGGTGCGCGCGAGGGCAAGCGCTCCTACTCCATGGAGCACTTCCGCTGGGGCAAGCCTGTGGGCAAGAAGCGGCGCCCCGTGAAGGTGTACCCGAACGGCGCGGAGGACGAGTCGGCCGAGGCCTTCCCGCTCGAGTTCAAGAGGGAGCTGGCGGGGGAGCGGCCCGCGGCGGCGCCCGGCCCCGACGACCTGGAGCTCGGCCTGCTGGCGGAGGCGGAGGCGGAGGCGGAGGCGGAGGCGGAGGCCCGGGCCGGGGCGGGGGCGGGGGCGGGGGCGGCCGAGAAGAAGGACGACGGGCCCTATCGCATGGAGCACTTTCGCTGGGGCAGCCCGCGCAAGGACAAGCGCTACGGCGGCTTCATGAGCTCGGAGAAGGGCCAGACGCCGCTGGTGACGCTGTTCAAGAACGCCATCATCAAGAACGCCCACCAGAAGGGCCAGTGAGGCGCCCAAGCCCGCGCCTCCGGCTGCCGAAGCTGCCCGTAGTTAGGAAATAAAGCCTGTCAAATCTCGCAGCCGCCTCTGACTTGAAAGTAGACTGTGCGAACAAAATGCAAATACGCAGCCATCAAAGAGCAGCGTGTAGTGGAGGGGAAACTGGTTTCCATGTGCCCGAGTGCTGTAGCATATTTCGTTAGCGGGCGGTAGAGTGGGAAGAACGTGTCCTTCCACGCCTACGTCCCCAGCCCAATGGGTGGGTCTTCAGGCACCTGATGGTTTTGGGTGTTTTTGGCACCGGGGATCGAACTCGGGACCTTGTGCTTGAGAGGCAGGCGCCGGAACCACTGAGCTAAATCCCCCGCCCCCATATAGTTTTGATGGTCCAAGGTGGCTTTGTTAACACTTAGGCTGACTCCATTTCTGTTCTTACACGGATGACCAGGGGAGCCTGGCGGGCACACCCACCCCGGGAGGGTTCTCTGGGCCGTGCAATCAGAAGCCACAGCTGTGGAATCTGGCCACTGTGCTTATGACTCCCTGGATCTGAGTCCTGGCTGTTCGCTACCTAGACTCAAGTTCCCCAAGATTTATTTTTTCCTTTATTCTCCCTTCCTAGCTGAGGGTTACGAGCACTAAAGGAGAAAATGGATGTGATCATCCTATCACTGAGGAGCCGTGTCAGCTGAGAGTTGGTATTGGTTCCAGTTGGGTGCCTCACAGATATCCTCAAATACATGGTCTCACCCCCTTACACACACGTTGTGGAAACATACTTGTCTGCGTAAACATAACACTATACACAGACTCCTCTTCTGGTCCCAGCCTCAAGCCAGGACGTCCTGTGTCTGCCCTTGGTGTTGCCCAGCATCACCCCTTCCCTTCACGGTCAGTCCCCCCTGCTTGGTCCTTGATCATAATAGCGTCCTAACCAGCCGGTCTCCACTCGCGCCGCTCCCCAGCTCATTGTACACAAATTTCTATTAAACAATTTGTTGTAATACCTGCCATGTGGTAGAATGAGGCAGGAAGATAGAAAGTTTGAGTCCAGCCTGGGCGACTTAGTGAGACCGTCTCAAACTTAAAAAGATTTAAAAAAGGGATAAGGATGTAGCACCTCTGTAGCAGAGTGCTTGCCTAGCATGAGCGAGATCCTGGATTCAATTACCAGTATCAGACAAAAAAAATCTGGCTTTCTGCACATTCCCTCAGAGCCAAAGCAGTAACTTCACCTTCCAATTTTCCATCAATTCCAAACTACTGGGCATGGCATGTAGGACCCTGGCAACCAGGCTCACCCTCCTTATCAAGCGTTTCCCAGATGAAGGCTGTGCTTCAAGCGTACAGTCTGCTCGTTCCTCTCCCATTTTCTTTTGCTGGCTAGAACCCTCCACCTTCCTCCCACCATTCTCAATGTTGCCTGTTTTCAACATAAACCCCAGGCTCCTGGGCAGGTCCTGATCTCTCCCAGCTGCCCTTGTGCATTTCAGGGTTTCTGCAGCCAGCGCACTCCACACCAGATGACATGCCGTCGGGCTCAGATGACAAGTCACTTGCTGTGTACTTGTCTCATTCCCTCTTCAGGGACACTCCAAGCTCTGCAGGACAGAAGCCAGGTGTTTCTTTTTATCTCCCTGTGGTGATTTCACAATGCTGGGGCCACAGGCCTGCGGCCGCACATTTAGTGTTCGCAAGATTCCCAGATACAGGTGTACACATGTGCCTGTCACTTTTGTTAGACACACCAGTGAATGGTACACATCAAAGCCTCCAGGGAAACATTAGCACAGTATATGGTGTTTATCCATATGCCCTGTATTCTGAAGCTCTTCAAGTTCACAGTGAAAGAAAATGAGGAACGCACCCTGGGAATTCCTGGGTTACGTATGGGAAATGATCCAGAGTGAAGAATGGCTTGGCCCCCCTGACACCTCATGCTGGATCCTTTCCTACCTCCTTTTTGAGGCAGGTAGTCAGGGTCAGTGGGGTTGGTTAAATGTCAGCAGTACACTGTTGGTATTTTCAGATTGTTTTTATCTGGAAAAACCATGTAACGATTTCAAATCGACAGCCATGTAGTGACAACATTAACATTTATTTGAAAAGGGCATCATGAAGGCTTATTGGGAAATTGCTACTAACAGTTCTAAAGAATGATCTTGCTAGGAGTCCTTCCTAAGCTCCCCCACTCTTTCCCTCCTTCCCTAAAATAAAACTAATTTGATGCAACAAGTTTAAAATACAGAAAACTGCCACAGGCACTAATTGTGCACTCACACATAAATGTCAGATGTTATATACAGGTTACTGCCAACTACGGACTACGTTACACACATGCACACACACTCAGCCAGGCCATGAAGGTCTAGATGGACACAGACACATCACCATGTATGTGCTGCAGCATATGCGGACCCAAAAGTCTGCACTTCATGTGCCGGAATTGAGTCAAGGAAGAGCGAAAGAGGAAGGTGGTCATGAAGACCTGGTCAGCCAGGCGGGTGTCCCAGGAGAGCTCAGAAACTGCCTTCTGCCAGAGCCCTGGGCCTGCCTCTGTGGCTCCTCACCACGTCCCAGCAGCCCGGCTCCAGGACAGGGCCCCCATGACCCTCCTTCTGCAGTCTTCTGCCCTAAGCCTGATTTGGGATAAAGGGTCACAGTAACCAGATTTCTAGGGCTAACTGGATGAACCTGGCTGCCAGGGCCAAGGACACAGGAGGTAGGTGTGGCCTGCCCTGCTATGACAACCTCTATCTGCCTTTAAACACAACTCTGCCCCACAGCCCTGGTCCTGCCCTTCTCAATGGGCCCCTAAACCAGCCAGCTGCCATTTTATGGTCGTAAGGAAGAACTGGGAAAAACAGCTTCACTTCTCAATAGCACTTCTTGTAGCCTGGTTGGGAGGCCTGGGGACAATGGAATGACAACTGAAAGGCAACATGACCAGTGGTCCCCAGACAAGAGGTTTGCTGTTTAAAGAAACCTAAAGGCTGTTCTGTCGCCTACCCTGGTTGAAACGAGTCCTGTGGCCCTGGAACAGGCAGGGCAAAGGCAGCACATACGTGACACGATGCCATGCTTCTTTGAGCACACACATTGGCCCCAGGCCCCTTCTCCCTGATTGTCGTCTACTTGTATATGGGTAGTGGGGGAGGCTGGACAGGACAGCATGGAGGACTTTTCTACATAGGTTCCACCCTTGGTGAGGAGGCTGTTTGAGAGTCAAGAAACCACTTATCCTACTTATCAGAGAGGTAACTGGGAACAGGCCAGGCACTGAGACCCCAGTGCAAAGAAGGCAGGTGGCACCCTGGGACTACAGGGATGCTCTCTGCTTCTCATGCACTTTTATGTCCCAAGCAAATTCACAGAACTTCCAACTCTCAAATACATTGATGCCTATTAAGTTCTATCAGCAGCATGCTGACTGCCTTGCCCCTTGGCCACAAAGCTGGAGTCCCCGGTGGCTTTTGGGGGCAGCTGGTCTCAATGGGCTAGCTGGCTCCTCTTGGCTCCAGCTCAGAGCAGAGAAGGGCAGAAAAATGGGGCACGAGTCAGGGCCTGGAAGGCAGGCTGCAGGGACACGAGGCTGGGGATGGGCACCAAGCTCCTCCCCCTAAGCCCACCCAACTCCGGTCTGCCTTTCCCTGGCCTCGTGACGGGGTGACAGGCATGACTGTGTTCACCATTTCATTCCGTCCGAGGTGACTCACGTTAAACTTCCTGATTCTGAGGCGTGGGTGGCCAGCATCAGAGTCCACTCCACGTCAGCAGGCAACCTAAGAGTCTACTGCGGGAAAATTTAAGCTAAAGTGGAGATGAGAAAGTGCAAGACATGGCTGGTTCTCTGGAAGGAGCACATCTCTGCAAAGCAGCTGCGGTGTAGAGAAAGTGGCCTTGGTTAGACAGAGGGAGCTACAGTCCAGCCTATGCCGAAGCCCTCATTTTCCCTTTCTCTCTTCTCAAGGGTGGCTGAGGGACAGAGAAGTCTGAGCAAACCTCCAGGTCTCAGCTTCTGAAGCTGCCTTTAAAGGCGCTCCAGGAAATGACTCCTGAGTCCCAGAACCAGGGCCCACGGGCAGAGCTCAGAGCAGAGGTGCCTCCGGGAGCACCTTCACGCCACCCGGGTACCAGGAAGACAGAGTGCCCTCTCTTAGCCAAGCTTGGAGTAGGAGATGGGATGACCTGCTGAGGAAAGACATTTGTGGCCCAAGGACTAGATTTTCTTGAGTTTCTTCCAGAGGTTATTTGGCTTTAAATTTGTTTCAAGTTATTTTAAACTTAAGTTTCTTAATAATGAGACATCCGAGAGAAATCTAAATTCATGCTTGTGGAACTGGGATGAGCGTAAGTTACACAAAAGTCACAAAATACAGCCCGAAAGCCTTGGGGAGTGGGAGCCTCACCCGACCCGAGGCCTGTGATCGTGCAGGCCATGCAGAAGCCACGGCCCCCAGGACTGGGCCAGTGACCCGGGAAGAGATGCATCTGAAGGTGGAAACTGCAAGGCTACAGGAACGAAGCCTCAGACGGCCCCTCCTCACATTTACCTCAGTGCAGTGTGTTAGCATCCTGCTGGTTTTGGAAGATGCATCCGTCAGCCCTGACAATCAGCCTGCCACTGTTTGGGGCTGGGATCTGAAGCCACCCTCTGCAGAAACGGCCTCCCTCTGAGCCCTCGCCATACTGCCAAAAACTGTACCCTAAAAAGGGGTTCCTGTCGGTCAAGAAATCTACTCTTCCTCCCCGCTTTGAAAAGCAAATATTCAAGGAGGGCATATTTGACCATTCATACCTCACTGTGAGTCATGTCAGCTCAGGAAAGTGATGGAAAAATTATAGAAAGTCTGGAAGGAAAAGAAAGGCTACTCTGGACACAGGAGGCTGCTGCTTCCAGAGGCACCCGGGACACCCAAAGGCACTCAGAGGACGGTCAGAAAGGGAACCATGGAGAGAGCAGCAGCCTTTTCACAGTCTGGGTTTGCTGCACTCAGGGAAAACAGAAGCCCAGAACCCAGAGGGGTCTCCTCTGCCTCTCCCCAGGCTACAAGCAAGGCCAGGTGGCATCAATGTCCCACGTTTCCAGAGCATGAAGACATCACTTGAGTAGCAGGCACTAGCTCCCTCTTTCCTCAGATGAACACCCAGAAGGCCCCAAAGGGCCACTGGCCCCACTCCTCCCTGGCCTTGCTCCCCAGCCCAGCTGGGAGCGTTTTCCTGGGAGGCTCTGGGCACAGTCCTCGGGCCCTGCTCTTCCCCCAGCTTTGAATCATCTAGAACTAGACCAGGGGTGGCGGACCTATGGCAGGAGTCCCACAGCCAGCTGTTTGCCATCACTGAACTAGACTATCTTCTTCTGCCTCCCCCCAATCCAGAGGCTGTGTGGAAACTCCGTAGGGCCCTTGGAAGAAAGACAACACAGAGAGAGAACCCAACTAACTCAGAGAAACATCCAGAAGACAGAGAACCACCCACAAGTCCCTTCTGAACCAAGGGGGCAGAACCAGCGCCTCTCCACCCCCAGCTCGTTACCAGGGGCTCAACGCTCAGTAACAGCAGCAAAACAATGGACAAACGGAGGGCCAGCAAGAGCGGAAGAGACTCCCAAGACTCGAGTGGGGAGGCCGGGCCTGCTCAGGAGGACAGCAGCACTGTCTCCAGCTCTCACTGCTACTCCTTTCCAGGGGGAGCTTTCCTTGGTTCCTCCTCAGACCAATGAAGTCTCCAGCTGGTTGCCTCCTCTAGAGACATCAGATGAGCCCCAAGACGCAGCCTCAGTGGAAGCCCTTCAACCAGCACCCCAAGTGGAGCTCCCCCTCCTCTCTGGAGACAACCCCATGATTCCCCACCCCTGGCTGACCAAAAAGAGAAGACAAAGGGCAGGGATGAGATGCTCTTTGCCCCCAAGGGGCAGGTGGCTGGGTCCTCCTCAGGGAAGGCAGGGTGGAGGTGGGAGGGCTGTGAAGTTCCGGAGGGGCCTGGAGGCTCAGCCTTTGCTTAGCTGGGGAGGAGGCAAAGTCAGAGATCCCAGCCAGATTTTCAGGGGCAAGGGCGGGCATGAGGTCAGCCTTCCCTCAGACCCCATCCCTGCGAGCAGCTTCATCCTCGGGAGCTCAGTACACACACAGATCGGGAAACTTCATCTCGTAGACAGGTATGGAGTGGCTCTGCGCTTGGCCATAGGCGGCAGTGATGGTTCCTGATGGGCTGGGCGGGGGCCTGGGACAGGGAGAAGAAACCATGAGGCGGGAATTCTGGGGTCCTAGCTGCGTGCAACTGAACACAACAGCTGATCTGGGTTTCTTTTTGCCAGGCACTGGGGATCTGGATACCCCTCAGGCTCCCAGATTTTTAAGTTGCTCCAAGAATCTACAGCTCAGTCTAAATCCTCCAGGCTGTACCAGAAAATGAAGCACCAGCCGGGACACGAGGACCCCTGGCTCTTTCCGGGCCTCACTGAGCTGGCTTTCCCCTCTCTGATCTCCATTTTCCTAGTCTAGGGGAGCTGGTTGCTAACCCCAGCCCTGGGGACAGATGTAGGGGTGCCCTGCTCAGGGCTGCTACTTACCGGATGGTGATTTCAAAGATCTGGTTGAGTCTGCTCTGCAGCAGTGATGCCTAGACACAAACAGAGGGGCCGTGAGTTGGGGCCCCCAGGACCCCAGAGGCAGATTCAGCCCACCCAGCCAGGGGATACTGGTGGTGCCGGGCAGTGGCAGCCACGGGAAGGTGCCAGGTGGAGCCGCTCCCACCATTTGTCTGCTGGGCCCTGACAGGATTCGGGCCAGGGACTGCCATCTGTTGAAGGCTGGCTGGGGACAGGACAGAGGCCCAGGGAAACCAGGTGAGACTTTGACAAGCAGCTCTAGAGTTCAAGGCTTCTGCCCCTCAATTTTGGGCCTGGACTCAGGGGACTTGTTGGGACTTCTGTCCCAGCTTGCAGGTGTCCAGTGAGGGGGCCTCAACTCTGCACTCTCGAAATAGGCAGAGTCGACCTCGAAAAGTGGGGTGAGAAGTTAGGCTAATGTAGACTAGGAAAATCAAGTTTCTATGTACGTATAAAATATATGACTATGTAAGTACACAAAATAAGATCGCATGTATTTTTATTGACAGCAAATGTTACTTGCAGATCTGGAAAGCTGAGATCACGTCACACTGTCACTAAAATCTCTCTTCTGGAGCCCAGCGCTCCCTCCCCGGCCGTGTCCCCTGCCAGAAGAGGGTCCTGCTGTACACCTTGCTCACTTCTCCCACTGTGCCTCGAGGTGGGGATGTAAGGCACCAACCTCACAGTTACGAGAGTAAAATAAGCTGATAGATGAAAGGCACTCTGGTGAGCAGTGACTGCTGTTTTCATTCTTGCTGTCGTGATTATGATGAGGTTGACTGGACCGCCCGGAACCGGGGCGGCGGGGGAACTGTAGGGTGCTGGGACAACAGCAGAGCTCTCTGTGCTGGACGCCCAGCCCTGATTTCTAGAGGACAAAGAGCCAGAAAGGGGTTCTGGGCCCAGATCTGGTCTGCCAGGCCTGCCTGTGCTGCTGCACTCACCCGGGCCCCGCAGTGGGCCGCGATCTCCTCGAAGGGCGCCTTCTGGAATTTCTCCACCACCTGCCGCCGCCGCTCGCGCTCCTGCTCCTCCACCGCCACACTATCCACTGTGGCGGGAACACAGGCGGCCGGTGAGGGCCGGGTCCTCCCCACGGCTGAGGACGGCAAGGGGCTCGAGGAGGGAGAAGGGGGCGGGGGGTGGATCTCTTCAGAAGGCTCGGTCCTCTGCTAAGGGGTGAGGGGCAGCGGCGTGGGGCGGGTGGCGCCCTCTTCCGGCCCCAGAGGCGGGACCGCTTCTTAGCTCTGCCTGAGGCTCAGCCCTCTTCCTTGCACTGAGTTCGAAAAGCAGCCGAGGGGACCATCACCTGGCCTTTATTTATTTGGTACCAGGGATTGAACTCAGGACCTTGCACTTGCGAGGCAGGCGGCGGAACCACTGAGCTAAATCCCCGGCTCCCGCTGGCCTTTTAAAGTGCTAAGTAGTAGCGTTTCCGCTAGGACTCTTCAACAGAAAGTCCTGGAACAGTTGATCCTTTTAGTACCATGGCTAATTTGAAAAGGGACATCAACAATGAAAAAGCCAGATGACCAGGAAAGCCCACATAGCTGCTATCACAGAACAGTCTGAGGCCATTTAGCTTAAGGCTTTACACGGGCCACTTGGTATCTAAAATGAGACAGCAGCCCCCAAAAAAGTACATGGGGGGGGTCAAATATGTTTGCCATGTTCAATTTAAGAAGACAAGCAAGCTAGGCATGGTGGCACACGACTGTAATCTCAGCACCCTGGGAGGTCGTGGGTTCAATCCTCAGTACCAAAAAAGCAAAAAAGGGCAAGCAATGGGTACAGTCAGAAAGTACACCACTCATGCTAATAAAAAATTTAAAAGGGTTAATTAAAAGGACATTTAAACTGGGTGTGGTGGTGCACACCTGTAATCCCAGCACTCCGAGAGGCTGAGGCAGGAGGATCGCTGTGAGTTTGAGGCAGCCTGGGCTACACAGTGAGTTCAAGGCCAGCCTGAACTATACAGTGAGACCCTGTCTCAAAAAAAAAACCAGGGCCAGGGATTTAGCTCAGTGGTTCTGCCACCTGCCTCGAAAGCACAAGGACCCAAGTTCGATCCCAAGTACAAAAACAAAACGAAACAAAACAAAACCCAAACAAAAACCAAAAATCCCAAACAAAACCAAAAAGGACATTTAAAGTCTTAATTTGTCATCAGAAAAATTTTCTTAATGGGAATGCTTCATTGTGCGATTGTCCCGATAAATGATGTAACTGCATTTTAAAGTCTATTGCCCTTAGTAAATAAATGCCAGTATGATTTGCTCCCTAATATCTTTCATGGGTCCACTTGTTTTGTATCACACACCACCAAAAACAGTGTCAAAATATTTACACAAAATTCCGCTTCATTGGCATATGGCATCAGCCCCGGGAGCTGCCCTTAATACAAAAGGGCCGCCTGGAGTGGGGGACACAGGCGACATGGGTGATGCCCTCAGGAGCGTGGCCTTCAGTGGCTGCTGTGGTGGCCATGCGGACTCTGCAGGAAGCCAGATCCCTCACTTCGGAAAGGGGGCAGGTGGGAGCCCAGGGCACTTACCAATGGCCTTCTTCAGTGTCTCGTAGGTAATCTCCTCAGCGGGCACTCGCTGCAGGGGAAGGGACAGAGGGGCTCAGAGGTGGGGAGAGGCAGCCTGTGCTTCCTGGAAGGCATCCTAATGGGCCTCCCACAGTCCCCAAGGAGCACAGGGCAGCCAGCCAGGTGCAGGCAGGCGAGCTGACTCCTCCCTCAGTGTGGACTCAGAAGGGCGCATGAGCCTCACTGAAGAGAACGCACTGCCCCGTTCCCTACCCAAGCCTGTTCCTTCAAGCCCCGTGGGAGGAGAATCCCATGTAATCTTTAAAAGCTCATCAGAGATCATCCACAGAAACTACTGCAAACAGGAAAAGGTGGCAGTTGGCAAATATGATGTCAACTCCAAGAACTGTATAACTTCTTTTTTTGGTACCAGGGATCGAACTCAGGACCTTGAGCTTTCGAGGCAGGTGTGTGTAACATTTTTGAAGACTTAATAATTTACTGCTGAGGATTTACTGACACTAAGAAATGGAAGATTAGCATCGACAGGCCCTGAGCTACTGAGGTCGGAGTAAGGACCTGGGCCACAGAGGCTCAGTCCTCTGCAGAGCCTAGAAAGGGGTGGGAAGCACTAAGACCCGAAGAAGGGGCTCTGAGGATGCGTGGCCTGGACAAGTGTGGACTGAGTTTCAGGAATTCCCACCAATTGACGAAGCAAGACTCATGACTGGCTCAGGTTCCAACACTTAAACCTAACAGGGAAAGATGCAGACACAGAGGAAAGCGATTTCACTAGCGCAAAGTTCAGGAAGGGACACAACTCGGGCTGCGGCTCCCTTGGGAACAGCGGTGCAGAGCAGAGCACTGGAGCAAGGGACCGAGGAGTGGCAGGACCCGGTGGAAACCCCAAAATGTGTCACAGAGGAACTGTTGTGCGGAGCCCTACTCTGCTCTGAAGACTCAGCCTCTGTGTGTTCAGTCATGCACGCATGGGCAGCACTGGCCGACATCAGACAGTCAGTTGAGTGTGAGGCACTTGGGAGCAGCATGGTGTGACAGTTACTGGGCAAGAACAGGAGGGAGAAGCGGAGGAAGCAGAGCTCGAGGGAGCCAGTGAATGTGCACAGCTGAGGACAGCACGGGGGCCTGGGTGCAGTCCCTCCGGAGAAGCTGTAGCTATAAAATAACATCGTAGGGCCAGGCCAGGCTGCAACTGATTCTGAACCCCAGGACTGGATCTGACCAAACCAGCACTGATTCGACACCCACGGTGATGGGCATGGGAAGCCACCGCAGGATTCTGGAACAGGACACGATGGGCTGAAGGAGGGAAGCAGTAGCCTGACAGGAGGGGATGTGGGGACGGAGGTCCCTGCCCCTGCAGCAGCTGCCCAGCCACCCTGGGCTAAACTGCCTCCTGAAGAAGGAAAGAAGGGGCCAATGTGGTGGTTCAGGAGGCTGCTAGTGGGGAGGGGCCCGGCCTGTAGCCAGGTAAGCACGTCTCCTCTTCCAGCTTCACTAACTCATCAATTCCAAGTGTCTCTTTCCTCACTCTCAGGCCACGAGAATCATGTCTGCAGGGCGAGACAGCAGACAGCTCCCCCAAGGCTGATGCAATGGAGCTCCCTAGTCTCTGACCGTGGGAGCTCTCTGGAGGGGCCTTGGATCCACCTCCTCACCTCACATGTCCAGTTAGCCCAGGCAGAGCTTCCTGCCATCCAGGAAGGGGCCAGATCAGCCCTGGGCTAGGGGTCTGCCCCGATAAATGAAGTGGTCAAGGGCACGGCTGGAATGAGGCCCGATCCTGACTCCTAAAGACTTCTACGTCCCCCAGTCACATCTGGGGAAAGGCTCAGCGGCAGAGCTGTACTCCTGGCTGTACCAGTCCTAACTGGTGTAAGAACTTGAGAATGCCAAGGTCCCCGAGCCCAAGGGCCATGCGACCCTTGCTGCCCCAGCGCCACTCAGAGCCGTGTCCCCCACTACTCTGTTGATCCCCTTTACTGGGGCAGTAACCTTTAAGGAAAGGTGTGATCAGCACCTCATGATTGCTTCTCCCTCCTCTCTGTACCCCCTTTTCTTTCTCATTTGGGGCATAACTATGGTATTTCCACTGTGATTTCTTAGACTCATGGGTACACTGTTTATTTGCTGAGGTAGAGAAATGAATGGCAGATATCACATGTTAATTTGCACAGAAATTAGATATTCATGGACTGCAAGAAAGGATGGAAGGAAGAGGGATCTTTAAGGGACAGCTGTAGCTTTCTCTTAAAAAAGAATCTTGGTTGCCAGGTGTTGGTAGGAGGAAAGGATGAATAGGTGGGGGACAGGATTTTCAGCGCAGTGAAAATATTCAGCATGGTACTCTAGTGGTGGGTACATGCCCAGATCCATAGAGTGTACAGCAGCGAGCGTGGACCCCAATATAAACGGTGGCCTGTGGGGGACAATAATGTGTGCGTGTTGGCTCAGTGACTACAGCACGTGTACTCCTCTGGTGTGGATACTGATAATGGGGGAGGCTGGTTCTGTGTGGAGGGGGCTGGGAAGGTACAGGAAATCTCTGCATCCTCCTCTCACTTTCTCTGGGAACTTAAAACTGCTTTAAAGAAATGAAGTCTTGGGGCGGGGATTTAGCTCAGCGGTTCTGGTGCCTGCCTCGCAAGCACAAGGACCCGCGTTCAATCCCCGTACCAAAAACAAAAACAAAAACCAAAACAAAACAAAAAAACAAAAAAAAAGAAATTAAGTCTTAATTAAAAAAAAACTATTGTAATATCTGGAAGAAACACTACTCACACTGCTCACACCCTCAACCTCCTGCTAAGTCTTCTGACTTCCAACACGGTGCACACGGCCCCCACTGTGGGCAGGGGAAGGGGACCAGCAAGCTTTTCCACAGTAATTTTTCTGACATTCTCATGGGAGTAGGGCAAGATGCTATAACTCATCCAGGTGGGATACTGGTGATACATATCTGATGACAGTCACAGGAAAATATTTCACTTGAGAAACTAACTTCCGCACAGCCTTCAATGCACTGTGCTGTTAGGAGGCCCTGGAGCATCAGGCTTCCGGAAGCTTCACCAGGACAGCAACAAGGACATTTACCTCTTCCTTCTCTGGGCTGTTCCTGGATTCCACCTCCACCTGCAGGGAAATGGTCTCTCCAATGCTTTTCCGCTTGGATAAGCGATCCTCATCTGGAAAAGAAGAGCCTAGAAACTGGAGTCCCAGCCCTTAGAGAGCCAGGGTCAGGCCCTGGTCCACCTCCCCTTGTCTTCTACTTGCTCCTCAGTCCTCCCTGGCTCAGCATACAACAGGCTGCCTGGAGTAGGAAGCTTCCAATGGTTGGGGCCTTCTCTGCCCTAACTGTGGTTGGTTTTTGCAATCATGGTGAAAACCAAGAAGCTGCTTATGACCAGAAAGCATATTTCAACTTACGTGGCTAACAGCCCTGGCAGCCACTGTGGCCTGGCATTTACTAAGTGCATCTGCCTTCATTATTTCACAGACCCCTCACACCAACCCTCTTAAGCTCAGAAAATGGAAATTCAGGGGTGCCCGGGAGCTTGTCTAAGATTTTTAGGCAGTAAGCTACACTGAGGTTTTGAACTGGGTTTCTGGTCTGTTGCCTGTGCATGCTCTCTTCAGCACAGTAGAGCTAGGGAAACCAGCGTCTCACCATGACTTCCACAGTGTCTCTCAACCTCAGATGCCATAGGAGGCAATCACAGGGCCCATGAGCACCTTACATTCGGGCCTTCCTGGCTGAGGAAAGACAGGCAGGCTTGGAGCCCCCGCATGGAGTCGCACCTGTCAGCTGAGGGATGTAGGGCAGGCAGAGCCTGTCTGAATTGTAGCCACTGCCTCCCAGGACTTCGCTGATCTTGCTCTGGCGGAAGAGGAACTCAATCACCACGCCGTCAAGATTTTGGGACAGCCTGGACAACACAGCAGAGAAGAGGCGAGGTAGAACCGTGGGCGATGGGACTGATTCCCTGACAGCTTTCCTTATTGTGAAAGTAACATATTCATTATGCAAAATGTCAAAGAAATGAAAGGAAAAGAGAAATCACCCCTGGCCCCATTTCCAGAAATGATCACTGTTACATTTGTGCAGAGTCCCTTGGCCCAACACTTATGTCCCTGCCCCCAGCACCCTTCCAGGGTCTGTTTTATTACCTGCTACACAGAGAATCTCTCACATAAAATATTCTTCCGTAATGTCATTAATATTATGCATCAGTTATTTGATTGCACGATGGGCTGTAACTTATAAAGTTAGGCCCTGTTGAGCAACATCTCTGCAGCTCCACGCCCAGCCCAGCTGGGCGTTGCTTACTCGTGCATGCACGATGGTACCTCCATGCCACCAGCAGGTCCTCCAGGTGCGCAGCCTGTCCCAGACTGCCCACCTCCTCCACAGCAGCTTCTGGGACCTTGGCCGCGTCCAGATGTCTCACCTGGGCCTCTCCACAAACACGTCCTCAGGGAGCATGTATGGAGCCTCCTTCTTCCTGGTTTCTATCACCTGCAGTTTGGGAGGAATCCAACAATGAGAGCTGGGCCGGGGAGACAGAAACAGATGCTGGCCAGTCCCAGGCTTCCTCCTCCATGGGCTCCGTGGAGAGCACCACAGCCAGGCTTCTCCAAGAAATGCAGGTCCCAGTGAGACTCAGAGCACCCGAGAGGCCCACGGGGCCTGTGCAAGCTATCACCATAATGACGCACATGCATCTAGGGCGCTTCGCTCTAGGGAACTGGGTGTCTTGCTCCTGTGCTTTCTACTTAAACAAGTAAAAGAGAACTTAGGCTGCGCCATGTCCCGAACTTGCAGGTTGCAATAACATCCTGCTAGACAGCGACCCTGGAGCCTTCCTCAGTATCCTTTGCAAATTTTTGGCAAGAAAGGTGAATGCCACTAAGGGGGTGAGAAGTGGGGGACAGCGGGCATGCAGCTGTGTGGGTGAGGTGGCACTGCCCCGAACTCACCAGTCCCACCACTGGGGTCCGTGACTTCCGACAAAGAGGGTGCCTGGGCACTGCCCTTCCCGCCCTGCCCTGTGAGCCAGAAGCTGAGAGGGTCCACCTCCCTCGGTGTGGTCGCTGGCATGGCCACACTGTCCCTGCCCACATCTCGGCCAGCCCAGGCCAGCTGAGACCTGCAGTTTCTTTCAACTTTGCATGGACAGTGCATCTAGAGTTAATCCTGGACATCATATCCTATAAATACTTCAGCATGTTTTTTTTTTGGTACAGGAGATGGAACTCAGGACCTTGCGCTTGCGAGGCAGGTGTGGTGCCCTTGAGCTACATCCCCGGCCCTACTTAGCATGTTTTAAAAGATCTTCATACAACTGACTACAGACTGGGTATTAGATATACTAAGGGATTTGCTCCTCCTCCTCCTCCTCCTCCACCCCTCCCCCTGTTCTTCTTTTGGGGTGCTGGGGATTAAACTTTCATACTGAGCTACATCCCCAGCTCTTTCTAACATTTTTATTTTGAGACAGGGTCTCAAGAGGCTGCTAAGTTGTCTGGGATAGGTCTGTACTTGCAATCATCTTGTGTCAGCCTCCCAGACAGCAGGTGATTTTTGGAGAGTTAAGCATGTGAATAGCATGACAGTCCCAGAGGGAGGTGCCCATGTTTTGCTTTGTTTTGTTTTGAGCCATGCATACTGATATATGTAGTGTGCAAGGGCAGAGAGCTGGGATTTATTTAAAACCATTTCAGCAAAGGAGAAAAAAGGAGATAGATGAAATAAATGCAGGGAAATCTCAATATTTACTTTGCATGATAGCTAATGGATGTTCGTTATTCTACTCCCGCTGCTTTCAAGGTAGGTGCAAACTTTTATGGCACAAGCTCTTATTAAGCAGCTTTGGTCCACACACTCTGAGGGGTATGCGCTTCCCTGTGTGGGGCCCGGAAGCGGGTACAGGGCACTCCCATGCCAACCCGGCCCTCCTGTGCTGTATCTGGCGGGGGAAATGCCGGCCGTGTGACTTCTTGCTATCATGAGTTCTGATTTCAACCCTGTCTTCTATGTGGAAGACTAAGCAGAGTCCACTGCAGCTGGGGGGAAGAGGGTCCCGGGAGCCCGCCCACCCAGGGCCCAGCGCTCAGAATCACGAGGACACCGACCTCGTGGATGTGCTGGCAGAAGGCGGGCACCGTGGTAAGCTGGCTGATGAGGTTCAGGTAGGCTGCGCCCAGGGCGTAGAGGGCGCAGCGGTTGTACACGGACAAGTTCTCCTCGTTGACCTGGGCCACGTCCTGTGGCAACACAGATGGGCCTCTGGAGCTTTTCAATGACAAACTCCACTCGAGTCCCCACCCTCCACCCAACTTTCCTCAAACTTCTTTAGGACCACAATGTTGGTTTTTTTTCCTGGAACCGGGGATTGAACTCAGGACCTTGTGCTTGCCAGGCAGGCGCTGGCTCCACTGAGCTAAACCTCCAGCCCTTCCCCAAACTTCTTTAGGGATGACTCATTTCTTTCTAGGCTCACCCATAATTTCCTGGGAGCCACGGTCACCCTCATTAATGCTGAAGGAAATGGAGAACCCATGAACTGGGGGTCTGAAATACTGAATACAGAGGCAGTGCTCCCAACTCCCATGGGGCAGTCACAGCTGCAGCATCTGTTATTGCCCATGCCCTCTGTAACCCCACTGCTGGGATTCGGGGTCCTTTACCATAGAGCTGACTCTAGGAGGGCATTACCGGGCAGCCTGCTAATGTGGGTTTCCATGTTAAACTACGAAACCTGTGAGAGTCATCAGGTGACCGAGACACAAAGGAATCCCAAACTTTACCTCTTCAGGGTGAACAGAATTGAGAAAATAGTGTCTAGTGTCTAGGTCAGCCCTGCAGAATTAGCAGTCAAGCAGGTGGTCCAAGACCACCCCTCACTGAATTCCCAGGCTTGCCCCCTGCAGGGATACGGTGCCCACCTGGCTTCAGACCTGGAGGACCCAGCCTGTGAGGTCCAAGGACCCATCCCACCTCCCTTGGGGTTATCCTTCACACAGGCACATCTTGGAAATCTCAGGCCCTGCCTAGCACCACTGATTGAGAATGAACCACAGCCAAAAATTAAGTAATCTCTGGGGTTCCCCAGACAAGACCATGGGGATCTTCGTAGAGGAATAGTCAGCTAAGAGTACAGCATTCCTAGGCTGTGGAACAACTGCTAAACAGCTGCTACTCTGTACTTTTACTTTTTACCCTGTCCATGATCCTGGTCCCCATGTTCTGCCCCCCAGGCCCCACCTGAACAGCCAGCACCAGGCGGATGAGGTCCACCAGCACCTCCTCGTTGGCCAGCTCGATGCTGATGAGCACCAGCAGGCCGTACAGCGCTTCATAGTGCTTCTGCATGTTGGTCTCCTCCTTGCAGCTCAGGTAGATGTGCCTGTACAGCTGCTGGGAGTGCTGTAGATGGGAGCAGGGCAGAGGACAGCCACAGTGGGTGGGGTGGGAGCGGAAGTCTTTAAAGCAGACCCAGAGGAAGTGAATCCCTGTGGGAGTGCACTGCTAGGGACAGATGGGCTCCAGAAACACGGGCAACCAAAGCTGCCCCAAACCCAGCTGGAGCAGCAGCACGTGACCCGTGGCCACGGACTGGCTCAGCAGGGGTAGGGGTGCTGTGGCCCTGGCAGTGAGGATCACTGTGGGCTTCAGGCTGGGGTGGGGGTGGAGGGGCAGGGTGGGGTGCTGGGCCCACTGGCCTGGCCTGCTTGGGGCTCACTGGCTACCTTCTTCATGAAGACGGTGTCCTGTCGGGAGCACTTGTCCACTTTCAGCTTCAGGACCGCGATGTCACTGAGGGTGCTGGACAGGGACAGAGGGACCCCTTAGCCCTGGGTGAGCCATTCTGGGTCACACAGTGTCACTGGGCTTTATCCCCAAGGCTGTAAGGTGTCACCAAAGTCTCCCACACTCTCCTGGCCCTGGTTCTCAGCCCAATCTCCAATTTCTCCCACATTCTCAAGTTCCTGTTCCTTTCTCTTAAACCTCAGATCCCCCAAATTCAGTCTCCACTGATAACACTACACTCCTTCTTCCCCCAGCCTGAAAATCACCTTCAGCACTTCCTTTTCATCCCTCAAACCTCCAGGCACACTTCTGCTTCCATCTGATCCCCTTGCAGGATTCCAAGGTCAATGCAGGGGATCACCCTGAATCTACGACCTGTCCTCCTGCCGGGGTGTGAGGCTACTGGGCAAGAAGACAGGCCCTTCCAGGAGTCTTCTCCCCCATCACACAAAACTGCAGGCAAGAGCCCAAGTTCACCTGATGGTAGAGAACTTGTGGCGGTTGCCATGACGATCGATAAAACTGATGAGAATCTCTAGAACAAAGAGACGGATTTCTGCATCCTCCATGAGAGCGGTGGAGAGCAGGCGGTCCAGGAAGTTGCTGGGCAGCGCCGACATCATGTTGCTGCACTGGAAACCTGTGGATACCTGCAGGGGCCCCACAGAGGTGTGCTAGGAATGGGTCCCTCTTAGGTGCAGCCCGCACATGCAGAAACAGCCAGCGGAAGCTGCGTCTTAGCAAGTACCCATCAGCTTTCTCCCTCTCAGGTTTTGGATGCCACACAACTTTTCGGAACACTCCAGCATCCACCTAGACAAACTGTTTGGCACTGCTCAGTAGACAGGTGGGTGGACAGGGACAGGGACACTGAATGTTAAAAGCAAGCAAGGGATGAGCAGCAGAGAGGAGCAAGGGCCAGGGAGCTCCTGGACCCAAGGTTGCAACCAGCTGAGGGACAACAGCCACCGCAGGCACAGTGCTTCAGCCAGAGTGTGGACAGACATGAGAACTACAAAGCAGGAGAGTTTGTGTGGCCGGGCTGAAGAATGAGACCCCGTGACCACCGCCCCGGGACACAGACTCCATCTGGTGAGGTCTCTCCCAGTGCAGTGACAACGACCTGATCTCTGAGTAAAGTCAGCCCAAAACACGAACAGACACACTGCATCAGAGGGAAGGCAACTCCAAGGTCCAGCCCAGCGCAGCATCGCAGCGACCCGTTCACTGAAGCAGGGACTATGTGAGCGAGCCCGTCTGCCACCTCCATGAGGTGCCGGGCACACACCTAAGTAGGTGAACTCAGCAGCCCCGTGAAGATCTGAGGAGGTGACTGGGTTACTTGGGGTGGGCAGGGTGAGCGTTATAGTTACAGTCATGTGGTGCAAAGGGGAGGGTGGGGGTGGGGGTCTGTCCAGGCTGGCACGGCCAGACAGGGACAGAGCGGGTGGGAGATGGGGTCTGGGGAGGGAATGGGCATGGGACCCTCCAACTGTCCAGCCATGCACTGTGAGCTGCAATCCACTGAGAGATAAGGGGCAACTCCCGGGAGCAGCATCTCTAGAAAATCTCCCTGTGGCTGCCGTTAACAGCTCAAGAGGTGGAGAGAGAGTGACTGTGAGATCAACCCAGGTGCGAGACACCAGACCCAGGGCTGGGCAGAGAGTGCCCGAGGAGCGCATTACAAAGCCCTGCGCACAAGCTCCAGGAGCCTCGCCGGCCGTGAGAAACATAGTGTTTGAGAATCTTGGATGGAGGCTCCAGGGACGGAAGGGGGCAGATGATCTGGGTGCAGTTGCACACTCCTGTATCCCAGCCCCGAGAGAGGCTGAGGCAGGAGGATTGAAAATTTGAGTTCTGCCTCGGCAAGTTAGCAACTTTGGAAGACCCTGCCTCAAAATATAAACAAATAAGTAAGTAAGGTAGGAAGGGCTGGGAGTGTAGTTCAGGGGCAGAGAATCCCTGGATTTGACCCCAGTACTAAAAACAAAGAAAGAAGGAAAAAGAAACAAAAGCAAGCCATATGAACTGCTGCAGAGGGAAAAGATGGCAGGTGGCAGGTGGGAGATGGGATAGGCACAGGGCCAAGAGGTAAGTGGGGGAAACCGAGGGAGACAGACCTAGGAAGGGTGCTGGGGAGATGGGGCCAGAAGGTGCCGTCTCAAGACACACTGCTTAAGTGACAGGGTTATTAGCAGCCGATAAGAAAACTGAAAATCAGAACAGCTATTTGCCCTGCTCTGGGTGACCCCAGTTTGGGGGAGCCAGCCCGGCTACTGAGTAGCTGGAGTTTCGCCCCTCACTCGTCCTTCTGGCTGGGCATATTTGTGCAGTATGCAGCTTGCCCAGCTGTATATGGTGGCCTTCTTTTAGTCCCTCACGGGAAGCTGTGTCCTGCAGGGCAGAGCAGGAGTGGGAGTAGGAGAGGCTCACCTGAAGGAGGGATTTCAGCAGCATAATCTGGGTCAGGCGGTTCCTGTTCTCCCTGTGGGCCAGAGACACACTCACCAGGCTGGAGACCCCACACCTGCCCACCCAGTTCTCCCCATGAGGCTGATCTTGAGTACCCGGGATGGTGACTTCCAGATGGGACGCACACCAGGGGATTAACGCTCCCCCTGAAGGAGGTTCTGTGGGTCCCACCAACCGCTGAAGAGGAACGGTGAAGAATCTCTACCTCAGAGCGAGGGCAGAAGACTCAGGAGGGGACAGGCAGATGCTCACCCTGTCCTCCCGGCGTCCACGGCGTGGTGTAGGGTGGGCAGCGGCACCTTGCTCATGATGAAGAGGATCACCTCAGAGCGCTGGTAGGTGGGCAGCGTGCAGGCAAAGGAGCCTGCGGGGAGAGGCGGAGAGCTGCAGGTTGGAGAGGAACTGCCCAGGGCAGGCAGGTCTGGGCGCCCCTAGAGGAAGGCCCGGAGTTCCCTTTCCGCTCCTGGCCTGTTCATTCCTGAGGTGCTGCAGCTATGGCCTTGGGAGGATGGAGAAGCCAGGCAGGATGGGACAGGGCAGGAGCCCAGCCACCCAACAGGCCTGTGCCCACACGCAGCTGGTCCCCTGGGGCAGGCAGGCCCTGCCTCCATGCGGCTCCCGACCTCATTGTCCGGCCCTGCCGCCTTCTAAGTCAGAGGAAGCTCAGAGGGATGGGGCAGGAAGGCTCTGAGGTGAGGGGCTTCTCACACACCTGAGGGGCGGCTTTGATGAAATCAAAGACCACCACAGGGACAAGGGGCAAAGTAACCTGGGCCCTTGACCTGTCACTTGTTAAAATCAGATTTGTGTTTTCTTCTGAGGCAGAAGTAACAGGTTTTGCTAAGCCCCTGACTCTTCTCTTGGACCTAAAATGCCCAACAGGTAATTGAAAGCAGAACAAGGCTTCACTTTCAGTTTGTATCCTTCACCCTAAAACTTCGGATACTGGCATTTCAGTATTTTAAAACTGCCAACAGAGCACAGTTAATTGCCCCTCAGCCTCCCTGGCCTGTCTCACTCCCCTTCAAGATGGAGAGCACCAGGAAAGGGTGACGTTTAGGGCTCACAGGACACCCAGTTACTGGCCTGAGTCCCAGACTGTCCATGGTGGAGAGGCCTCCAGCCTCCAGCCGCTGGCATGAAGGGGAGTTACCGATGTTCTGGGAAATGCAGAGCCTCCTGGGAGAGGCCACCAGGAAGAGAGGCATCACCTCAGTGGGACAGCCACTCCTTGAGCCAGGAGGGTTCCCCGGAGCTACGACGCCAGGACTGACAGCGACTGTCGGACCCCAGTCCACTGCAGCACCCCACAAAACGGGCCTCTGTTTTGCTGTGCGCAGGCCCAGCCCCTGCAGCACAGTGCGCCCCTCCTCTGCCCATCAGACTGGAGGCCTCTCCCTCCCTCCTCAGCCTCCAGTGAAAGCTTTGGCCTGCAAATGTGCCTGTGCTTTAGCTTTCCCCTTTCCACTAAAGCAAGGACCCACGCTGTGCAGGGACAGCTCTAGTTCTCCACATCCAGGTGCACACATTGCCCCTGTGGCTTCCTCCCCTTCCCCTTCCTCAGTCCCCACCTCCGCTCCGTCCCCAAAGCAGCTAAGGAGGGGCAGAGTTGTCTTTGACCAGAAGCCCAGGCTGAGAAGCCCGTCCAGGCTGTTTTGTGTTCTCACTCAGGGGCTGCCTGGGCCAGGCCGTTTGCGCCACGGCTGACTGTATTCCCCGCGGTCCGTGAATAACTCAGTAACCACAGCTGACCCAGGCCCCGCCCCGCACCGACGGTCTTGATGACGGCCTCCTGGAACATGCGCTCCTCGTGCTCCTTGATGATCTTGCTGCCCAGGCTCAGCGTCCCGTCGTAGCTCCCCGTCAGCGCGTAGTCGATGCTGAGCCGCAGCTGCCGCAGCAGCGTGTTGAACATCTCCAGCACCGTGGGGCCTGGGTGCAGCGGGGAGCGAGGCCGGAGTCAGGGCGCCCTCTGCAGCACACGCCGGTCACAGAGCGCCCTCGCCCGCTCCAGGCCCCTTACCCACGGAGCCGGTGGCGGCTATGACCGCAGCCTCTGACAGCACCTCCACGATGCCCGCGCGCACCGTGGCAGCGCTGCGGCTGTTGGCGTCCAGGTGGCCCAGGAGCTGCTGGATAACCAGGTGGGAGTGCTGCGGCTGGGGGAGGAAGACACCTGGTCCCGAACAGCTCCCCCCGTGGCCAGGGCAGCCCTCTCCGGGCCCAGCGGTTGGGGTCGTCCCAAGGCTGGGGACCCCGAGGTGGCACCAGCCCCCGCCCTGGGCCATAGGGACGAGCCGGGTTCCGTGAAGACCTGCCGTGCCACATTCTCCTGGTCCCTTTCACTGCAAAGGCTGAAACGTTCATTTAAAAATATCGCCGCCTTTTTCCTTTCCCCCGGCCCAGGGCTTCCTGGCTAGGGCCACGAGGCCACACGGCTCAGCCAGTGCTGCTGAAGGCACCGCCCCGGGGCCAGTGCCAATTCCAGGTTAGTGACCGTCCTCCTCCAGCGGCGCCCGGGCAAGGGGGACAAGAGGGATGGGGAGGCCGCTCTACCTGAATCGAGTACATGATGATTTTGAAGCAGCGGACGGCGAACACCTTGGGTTCCCACAGGGAGTGGTTATCCAGATGGCTGTGGGGGAGAGAACATCGGGGTGAGCTGAGGGCAGGGGTGAACTCCTGAGAGCCCCTGGCAGTTCCTGGGGGAAGTGCGGCGGGGCTGACAGGTGGAGGTGACGGGGAGTGATGAAGTCCCAGCCCCAGAGCTGGACAGGGACCAGCGAACGAAGCTGGGCGCTCTCCCATCGGCTCCCAAAGCGCCACTGGGTGGTAGCTTTGCCATCACAATGCAGGCAACACAGGTACTGAAAGGGGACACACTTGGCCGTGGCCCCACAGCTGTGCCATCCCCCAAGCCAGCAGGAAGACGCCAGTCCTGGAATGTTCCAGGGCCGAGGGCGGGAGGGGCAGGGACACTCGGCTCACATGAGAACAGGCTTGATGGCGTTTTTAATATTGCCGAAGGCTGCCCGGCCCAGCAGCTCCCTCAGGCACCTCTCTGCCAGCTCTGCCGGGTTCTCCTTCTCCTTCTCCTGTGCTTGCAGCGGGGAGGGAGACCGGCTGTGGAAACAGAGCCATGTGAGTAAGAGGGGAGGCCATGCTGCGAGGCAGGCTTTGTGCATCCCGGGTTTCTGTACTTTCTCCACACAAACCATGGCGTCAGGACAAGCAGGCACTAGACAATGCCTGCTCCAGGCGACAGGGAGACATCATGGCTGTCAGAAATGAAACAGCGTAAGGAAGCCCAGAGTGGAGGAAGCCTGGGGCCGATGGGATAGTGCCTTTTCTGGAAATTCTGATGTGCCCCTGTGGGAGGACACTGCGCACCATGAGCCAGGTGAGGCGCTGACCACGAGTATTTCTGTGTACCTAAATGGTACCCAAGGCACAGCGAGTACATCCTCACACTGAATGGGGCCCCAAGACCACCTGAAACTAGTGAGAGCTCGGCAGTGAGCGACGATTCCGGTAACAGCCACTAGGGGGCACACCACCTCCCCTGCCAGTCTCACCTCCAGGCTCAAGAGGCAGAAAGTGACAGGTGCAGTACATATCTTTACCCTGCATAGATAGCAGAGGTCAGACGGCAACGTGACCCTTACCCTCCATCCCGTTCCACAGGGGTAAGCACAAGTTTAGGAGGTCCCAGATTAAAGCCCACTTATCTGCAGCTCTTCTTCGGTGGCTGTGGCTGATCAGGCACATGTGTTTTTGTTTGTGGCACTAGGGATTGAGTTCAGGGCTTTTGCACTGAGCTATACCCTCAGCCCTTTAAAAAAAAAATTTCATGTTGAGACATAACTCTTTCTAACTCACTAATTGCCTTGGGCTTGAACGTGCCATCCTCCTGCCTCAGCCTCCTGGAGTTTTGGGATTACAAGCATGCATCCCCACACCCAGCTAAGCAGGCCTGAAATAGAATCAGGAAGTGAGCGAGGAAGGAGGGTCCAAAGGGAAAGCCCTCAGTAACTGGAGCCTCAGAACGAACTTTGGACCTCCCTGGCCTGCTGCTTCCAGAGAGACGAACCTGACCCTTGGTCCTTGGTGTTCCCAGCAGCACACTTGCCCCGAGGGAGGCCGGCATTACTGCTGTCCTCCCTTCACTGTGGCAGAGGCGGAGAGGACAGCAGCCCGCAGAAGGCCTGACCCAAGGTTCCTGGGGGCCAGCTCTGACTCTGCAGAACACGCCACAGCCCGATCCTGGCCCAGCCACGTGGGCCCAGCAGGCAGGCGGCAGACTCACGCTGTCCACATCCAGGTGCTCACCTCTCTGCCTCCTCCACGTGCTGCAGGTTGAAAAGCAGCGAGGGGACGATCTTGTCCATGTGCTGCGGGTCCCAGATATTGGCCTGCAGTTCATCATTCACCGTCTTCCTCACCACCCCTTGCAGACCTTTGATGCCAGACATTCGGATTCTGTGAGGAGAGGCGGAATGGGTGTAGATGTGCTGCTTCCGCGGCCAGGAGCACAGGGCAGGGCCGGGACACACTGTCCATCCCAGGCAGAGGGAGAGCACCTGCTCCTCCTTGGGGCCGGTGTCCTGTGCGGTGGGCAGGCCCAGGAGCCAAGCCTCTGGCTTGTCTTGGTGAGCCCAGGCTGGCCTGGCCCCATCCCCTCATCGGTGTCTGGCCCAGGCCAGCAGAGCTCCTGGTGCTGCAGGGGACTCGAGGGGCGGAAGCAGGGTGAGCAGCAGCTGGGGCAGGGCGAGGTGTGCAGAAAGGCACTGAGCTGAGGCTCTCTGGGCACCAGGGGCCATGGCAGAACTAAATGGCCAAGAAGCCAGGGGGTGACTGCCCCTCACACCCCAGAGCCTACTGCTCTGGCTGTGCGGGAAGGAGTCCGCTTTACTGCCCCCTTTATTTCAGCCTAAAGTTCCTTTTATTCTCTTTTTACAAAAATAAAACCGTTTTTCTGATTACATGCTAATTATAAAAAGTATGCTCTCACCATCACTACTCAATGATAACCATTATTGGCATTTTGAGCTGGGACTCGAACTCAGGGCCTTGTGCATGCTAGGTGAGTGCTCTACTATTATGCTGCATCCCCAGTCCTTTAATTTTTAGGGTGAGGAGGGAGGCACTAGGGACCAAACCCCGGGCCTTTGCACTAAGCTCTATCCCCAGACCTTTAACATTTTTGGTTTTGAGGTAGAATCTTGCCAAGCTGTGCAGGCTGAGCTTGAACACGCACTCTTCTGCCTTGGCCGTCCGGAATGCTGACCCAGCCCCTTTACTTTATTTTGAGACAGGGCCTCTCTAGGTTGCCCGAGCTGGGGACTTGCCTCAGCCTCGGTAGCTGGGACTACAGGCTGTGCCACCATGCCCAGCCGGCATCTTTCTTTTCTTCTATACATCACAGGTAACAATTAGAACTGGTTGCACATTTAATTTGTATTGGCTTTTCTCTTACATAACAATCTAGGCACTTTTGAATACCATTAGCCTTTCATAAACACATTAAATGAACTTTCTGGACCAGGCCCTTGCAGGTCCTTTCAGTCGTTTCCCATGATTTTGCCATCACAGGGATGCTATGGTGGACCCCACTCCCTGTGTACAATATTTCAGTTCATTTCTGAGTCGCTGGCCTGAGTGGAATCAGTGACCCAAAGGTGAGAAGAGTCCTCCAGTATTTCCAGCTTTCCCACCCGGCCCAGCACAGGCCACCGGATGCTGTCCCCGGGGCCCTGCAGTGGCACTGGGGGTCTCACCTTAATATCTGCTCTCATTTTACGGCTCAGAAACCCTCACATCGTGTAGCTATTTTGGTTCACATCCCTTTGGCGATTATTCGTGTTGTTTTGTTTTTTTGGTACCGGGGATCGAACTCGGGTCCTTGCGCTTGCACAGCAGGCGGCGGAACCACTGAGCTAAATCTCCCGCCCTGGTGATTATTCGTGTTGAGCAGTTTCTCTAAATGTGTAGTTGCCAGTTGCACTTTCAGCTCCAGTTTAAGTGGGGCCCCGGGCCTTCCCCGGCGACTGTCCCTGGTGGGTATGAGCCTAACAGCACCTGGCCGAGGACCAGCTAGGCCTGCTGGCTGCAGGGGAATCACCAGCCTCGGTGCCTGCCCCTGCCCCCCGGCCCATGTCTGGGTGTGCAGGCACGGGCGCTGCTCCCCCCACCGGCCATTCTTGCCTTTAGGTCAAGGGTGCTCCGTGCTCGCTTGAGAGCAGCTCAAACGTGGGCTCGTCTGTCCCAACCACGATGCCTGGCTGGCAAGAAACCAGCCCGGGGGCCAGGGACTTAGCTCAGTGGTGCCACCATCTGCCTCACAAGTGCAAGGTCCTGACTTCTGTTTTGTTTCTTTTTTTGGTACCAGGGTTTGAATTCGGGTCTTTGAGCTTGTGAGGCAGGCGGTGGAACCACTGAGCTAAATCCCCGGCTCAAGGTCCTGAGTTCGATCCCTGGTTCCAAAAAAACAAACAAACAAACAAACACAAGAAACCAGTCCAGTTTGGAGGAAAAATGCCTACCCGAACTTCATGTGCAAATGTGAACACATACATATTTTTTTCAGTGCTAGGAATGGAACACAGGGCCTCACGCATGCTAGTCAGGCACTTAACAATAAGCCATACCCCGGCCCCATGGATTCGTTTTTCTTTTTCTATCTTGCACTTCTTCAGTTTCCCCACAATCCTTCCACATGCATCCTATTCTAGGACATCCAGGACTGACTTCTTCAAAATTAGATCAGAAAAATCAGCCTTGGGGGGAGAAGAAACCTACTGTTCTACCGGGTCCCGTGAGTCTGAAGCCAAGGGGAGTGCAGAGAATACTCAAGGGGTCTCACAACAAGCACACACGCACATGCATGCACACGTGTGCACCCTGCACACCCATGGGGAGACCACCCTGGCTGTTCTCTCAGAGGGTTCCCAGAGCAAAGCGGCCTTGGTGAATGGAAACCCAGCACATCAGCCGCTGCTGGGGTCTGCGCAGGCTGAGGATGAACACAGAAAGGAGCACAGGGAGGGTATTCCAGGGGAAGGAAAGAAGGTGCCAAGAAGACGCCCTGCTCTCCCCAGCAGCCTCCTGTCAGGGGTGACAGGGCCGGTCTGCAGGTGCTAATGGTGGTGCCTGGCTGCTAGCTACGAGCCTCAGGCGCCTTCCTCTTGATGCTCAGGAGACTCCTGGTGCCGCTGCTGTGTGCACGAGTGTGCACCTGTGTGCATAAGCTTGTAGCAGCCTGGGCAGCATCGTCTCCCGACTGCACAGCTGGCCCAGCCAAGGGGCCAGCACCTGTGACAGCCACAGCTTTTCTCTTCCACCTTCCCTGACGCCTCCTCTGTAGTGGTTTGTGGGTGCTTGGAGTATTTTTGTGGTGCTGGAGAGGCAACCCAGGCCTCGCACGTGCCAGGCGAGTGCTGTGCTGTGGAGCTATGCTCACTTGGCGACACCTGGTTCCCGACACGTGGGCTGCCTCAGCCCTCCACCTCTTTGCAGGAGTGAGCGGCTCCCGGGAAGCTGGCGGTAGGAGAAGAGGGGTGTCCCTCCTGTACACTGCTCCCCTCAGGGGTGCAGGACAGCCCGCCCCGGGCTTGAGGAGGCGCAGACCATCCTGCTTGCTCCCTACGTGCCACTTGCTGTACACTGGTGTCAGCACCTGTTTAGTGCTGTGATTTTATCTGAGAGGCTTTACTTCTGTAGGGATGAGCATATTTTTGTGAGTTAAACGGTTTTACAAACTTAAGTATGTGGACAGACAAGTGTTTTCTCTAATTCAGGATGTTTATCTGAAAGCTTTCAGTCAGTCATTCACTCAGCAAACACATCTCCAGTGTCTGCTGCTCTCAGAGGGTTGCCCTAGCACAAGATGACTCCAGACCTCCTAGCACTTGCGTTCTAGCGGGGAGAGACAATGAATACGAAGCACAGAGTCGGGCACGGTAGCATATACAGGTCTGTAATCCCAGCACTCTGGGAGGCTGAAGCAGGAGGATCACAAGTTTGAGCCCAGCCTGGGCAACTCAGCAAGACCCTGTCTCAAAATAAAACATTTTAAAAAAGCTTTGGGGATGTAGCTCAGTGTGAAGGCCTTGTGTTCGATCCCCAGTACTCCCCCCAACCCAATAATAATAATTATAAAAAACATAAGCAAACTGTGAAGCTTGTTAGAAGGAGATAGGCAGAGCAGGGTGTGGGACTGCGAGAGCCCCGAGCCCCGGACAGGAGTGTGCCTGCCTGGTTGAGACCGGCCTGGGAGGAGGTGGAAGGAACAGGAAGTGGGTGGGCCGCGAGCACACTGGGCTCTGTGCTGGTGGCGCAGATTTTGCCAGAGCAGGTGGTGGCCGTTTCTGCCTGAGCACACGCGTGTACTTCTGACCGAGGTGTGTGCATGTGTGCTCTGTCCCTGGCTCTCAAATTGGGCGCGAGGGACGGCTATCTCACATCCAGCCCTGTTTTCTGGCCCCACAGGTTCTTCCCTGGGAACCACGCTGGGAGCACAGCCCACCCACACCCGCCAACACCCGTGGACGGGAAGAGCCCGTGAGAGCAGACAGCCATCAGTGCTTTCAGGACTGGGGATGGGGCCCAGGGTCTGCACGGAGCTAGTACATCCTCGGCCCCCTTTTTTATTTTGAGACAGGGTCATCTAAGTTGCTAATTTGCCCAGGCTGAGCTTGAATTTCCGATCCTCCTGCTTCAGCCTCCCAGAGTGCTGGGATGACAGGTGTGCACCACCACGCTTGCTAAGGCAGGTCATCTTCTAAGACCCTCTGCGCTTGCCCAGGAGCCAAGCAGGCCCCTCGCCTTCCTGTACTCATTTGTCTTTTTTTTTTTTTTTGGTACCGGGGATCGAACTCGGGTACTCACTTTGTCTTGATCTCTGAGTCCTCGTGGCTCGAGTGGCACATTTCACTGAACCGAGAGACGAAGAAGTCATAGCTCCGATGATAGGATGGTGTGTCCTCCTCGATGTTGGCGAACTTCACAAACTGCGGGGTGGAGGGAGGGACACATGTGACAGCTCACCTTCCACCCTCACTCCAGGGTCCCCAGGCCCCCGCCTGGCACAGCCACAGAACCACGAGTCCCAGGACAGCTTCTGTGGCTTCCTGCTCGGCTCTACTTTCCTGGGCTGTTTGGGGAGCAGCAGAGGAGGGGCGGCGTGGCCGGGAAGGCTGTCAGGATGACACTGGACCTGCGAAAGCCAGGGTCAAGGCACGGGCCTGGTGAGTTCTGGGACCCGAAACTACACCTAGACCTTGATTTAAGAGGTGATTACATTCAACTGTCGAAAATGTGAGTAAACGGCGAGTGTGCCCCTCGGGTTAGGCCTTGATCAGCTTTTGGGTCCCACGGCGCCGCACTTAGCGTTCTAAATACAGACTGAATTTCAGCCGAATCCTGCTAAGCAGCAGGCAACCTGGACAACAGGGAGGCAAATCGCCGAAAATTGAATGTAATTCTTACAAGTTGTTTTGTTTAATGTCCTAAATGTAGTGTCCCAAATGACTCTAAAAGATTAGATTTACAATAAATTATATTCATTATTTTGCCATGTATTATTATTTATTTTTTCTAAATCTGTATAGGTTTAACAAGGATATACCAGCCTAAAAATATCTAGTTAAGCTATGTCATAATATTCAGTGTGGTCAACCTATGTCCCTATTTAAAACTGTTCACTTTTTCTAGATGAAAAGTAGCAGCTTCCATGAGAACCATTAATTACTATCGAGTTTTGTTCTTTTAACAGTAAATATACAGCTATTTTCCATTGAAGGATAAGACGTCAAAATACAAAGCAGAGTGGTTTCGCCGCCTGCCTTGCAAGCGCAAGGACCCGAGTTCGATCCCGGGTACCAAAAAAAAATACAAAGCAGAGTAGCTGGGCGTGGTGCACACCTGTAATCCTGGCACCGGGAGGCTGAGACAGGAGGACTGGTGCACATTCAAGGCCAGCCTGAACTACATAGCGAGACCTCATCTCAAAAAACAGACCAAAAAAACAAAAATACAAAGCAGATAAGGAGATCTTTCTTCCAAGCCACATCTAAAATGCATACATATGGGGCCAGGGATTTAGTTCAGTGGTTCCACTGCCTGCCTCGCAAGTGGAAGGACCCGAGTTCGATCCCCGGTACCAAAAAAAAAGAAGCATACATATGTATGTTTAGGACAGAATGTTCTGATATTAGCAGTACATCCACATGACACGGTTTGCAGTATCGATGTGGCAATACAGGAGGATGGCAGTGGCTCCTGTGATCACATCATTGATCATTCATGAGTTCAGAGTTCCAGAAACAAGGGAAAGGATGCTGGGTGTGGCTCACGTACATCTGCTGCTGACACTGACAGGAGGTCACGGGCAGGGTGTTGTCCAGACCAAGGCGACACACAGACGAGTGTTCCAGCAGCTCTAGCTCTTAGCCGGTGATGCGACCCAAGAGTGGGACATTCCATGTTTTTTTTTGGTACTGGGAATCGAATTCAGGACATTCAATTTTTTATGTTTTGGTTTTCCCATGTGTAAAATGAGCAGCCAGTGTTCACAAGGGTTCTTTTAAGGTTTTAAAACTGTATCTGTTTCAAATATGATGAGGCAGCTTAAAATAAGACTTCCTGTGTCTGTGTAAGGGTGTACACATTGTAGAATGGAAAAGACTTTAAAAAGTCAACAATAAAGAGGAAAAAAGAGTCAAACAAAGACTTTGTCAGGAAAATGAATGACCAGACTTTACGTCCACTGGTTTGAGGGTTTGTGACTAACAGCTATGGAGATGAAAGAAACTTCCAGAATGTCAGGAACTACCCTAAGCATTTTACACCATTTCTTTTACTTCTTAGAGAGAGAGGATTCTTTTCATCCCACAGAGACTGAGACCCAATCCTGAAGTACTTGGCTCCGTACAGGGGCCCCAGTCTCTACCCCACTATACCCACTGTGGGCTTCTCCCGCAGCCTCCCGTAAGCCTGGCCTTCTGGGTTTGCTCCACTTTCCTGAGGTGTAATTAAAAATAAAAATCATATATATATATTTAAGGTATACAGCAGCTATTTCAATATACACATAGACTGTAAAATAACCACCAAAATCAAGCTAATGCATCACCTCCCATACATCCACCACTTTCTTTCCCTCTCCTCTTCCCCTCCCTTTATTCCCTTATTCCTTCTTTCCCTCTTACTTTCTTGTGGTGAGAAGACTGAAGATAGCCAAGCAATGGAAACAATCTAAATGTTCAGTGTCAGATGAATAAAGAAAATGTGGTATATGTGAACACACACACACACACACACACACAGCATACTGGAATGTTACTCTGCTTTTAAAAAGGAGATCCTGTCATTTTTGACCGCATGGATAAACCCGGAAGACATTATGCTAAGTGATGTGAGCCAGCCACACAGACACTGCCCGATCTGACTCCAATGTGGAATCGGAAGTAGTCCACTTCCCAGAAGCAGAGCACAGAAGGGGCATGCCAGGGCCTGGGGAGGCACAAACCTTCTCCCGGTCTCTGTCCCTGCCCTCTGGGACCTGCAGCACCTCAGGCCTAGCAGCCCAGGCTGGGGCACAGGTAGGGTGGGGCTGGAGGAGCAAGGACACTTGTTTTCAAGCCCCGAAGAGCTGCAGCAGTGGGGGGCTACTTAATCATGCAGATTCCGGCCTCAGCCCCAGGCACGCTGGGTCGGCCTGGGGTCTCTAGCGCACGGTCCACACCCGCTGGAGAACCACAGCAGGCGGGATCCCTTCTCTCCGCACAAGACCCCACTCCTGAGGGGGTGCAGCGGAGGCACCAGGGCCTCGTCTGTCAGCTTTGACTCCCTCTTCCTCAGGTGCCAGGGGCCCACCACAGGACCTTGCTGTGCTGTCTAGGTGTCTAAGTGTTTCAACGATTACCCCTGGCTGCAGGGCAAGACTGAGATTAAAATCCATTTCTTTAAAAAATAGAAAGTTCCATGACAACACTGAGGGAAGCAGGGAGGGACACGACACGGCACAGGGCCTTTTCTAAAGCGTCCGTGGCTCTCCTCTAGCAGCTTCTTCTGTATCTGTCCCAACGGGGCTGCTACAGCGGCCAGCCCCCGCAAAATGCCCTCATTCTTTTCTTCTGGGACTCTGTCTGTCACTGGAGTTTTGCTCTTCCGTGCTCTTCCTCCCTGGAAACGGCTGAGAGTCTTCTTCTCACGGGCTGACTTTACCTGGTGGCGGCTCCCTGCAAGTAGAGCGAGCTCCGCTCCACGGCTGCAGGCCCACGTGACACCCGTTTCCCTCACCTCTTGTCACCCGGGGCCCGGAGAGAAGCTGTGTGGATGGGGGCACCAGGACGTCTCTTATAGGTGGTCACCAGGGTAACATACATATGCAGAGCAACCGAGGCAAACTCAGGAAGCAGTACCAGTTTAACCCTTGTCATTGTTTTTTTTTACAAGTTTAATGAACGAGTTTATTTATGTTATAAACAGAGGGCTCTGGGAACACAGGAAAAGGAGTTAAGGATTGAACCAGGTAAGACCCAAGCCAGGAGCCCAGAGCGGGAGCCTGTACCTCAGGAAGTGGTGACAGGCACCCACGGGTATGGACAGTGAAATGACGGCCACTCCCCTGACCTGGCACCCACTGGGAGTGTGAGGACAGGCGCCCTGGGCAGGGGAGGCGGATGGTGACCTCACACCCCCAGGGGCACCACGCAAGGGCTGGAGGTCACCTGACACAGCAGGGCAGGGCCAGTGGTACCCCCGAGGGGCAGGAGAGTGGGGACAGAGAAGGGGCCCAGCAGCCATGGCTGTGAGACCAGCAAGAAGTGGCTGGCCATGCTGTCTTCTCTCCAGCGTGTATGTCACCTCTTAGGAACACGTAGTAGAGAAGATGCAGGGGCACTCTCCCCACTCCTGAGTAAAGGAACTATATGGATTCCACGCATATAATTAGTGAGGTTCTTGTTTCCCCGGGTTTCCATTTCTTGGCCCCTCCGAGAGTCAGTACTGCAGCCACTGAGCAGCAGCACTTGCCCCAGCGGTGAGCAGATGTGCCCTAAACCCTCAGGGAACAAGTATCCCATTCAGAACATGCCCGGGGCCCCTCTCTGCCCCACCCCACCTGATCTGAAAAACAAATTTCAAGTATCATTTTACTATCGCCTGCTTGCTTTGTTTGAACCCAGGCTTTGTTCTGTGAAAAGCCCTCAAAAGCCACAGAGCCCTTGAGGAAGCTTTTCACAGACACGCAGGAGTCTGCATCAGGAACAGCCAGGCTAGGCCCATGCCCCAGTCCTTACGATTCCAGTTGACCAGGGCTCACTAAGTTGCCCAAGCTGGCCTCGAACTCATGATCCTCCTGCCTCAGCTTCTTGAGCCAGGTGTGCGCCAGGCTTCCCTACTCCATCTTTAACGCCAGGTACAGATGGCAGCAACATGCAAAAGGGACACACCACGCGGTGACAGCAACATTAACACTTGTTAATGCACTTGCTACTTTCCATCTTTGTCAGTTTCCCCAGCTGTAAGGTGTCTGCCTCCTTCCTCACATCCCTCGGGCCACTGTTATAGGATGTCTGTGACTGCATGTAGATCCCCTGATAATGCAGCATAACACTGGGCTAAGATCCTGCACTGAATCACATCTGCACTCTGCTTCCATAAGAGAACAGCCTCCAAGGATTCGGGCACAGTTTTCAGCCTGCCACAACCCCACTGCCATATACGATTTTCAGCAAACCAGTGAATTTCACAGGGTATCTACTGCTCCCCCTGGGAGAAGAGCATCGTGAGGCGGAAGGGAGCCAGCGAATGATACTTCAGCTCAGCTGACTGTGAGGGGTGGAGCTGGCCCCAGACCTAGGAATTCTGACACTGGGTTCTGTGCTCTTTGCCCTTTGAGCTTTAATGTGCATCCAAACTACCTGGGTAGCGTGATAAAAATGCAGATTTCTAGCTGGCTGTGGTGGTAATGCCTGTAATCTCAGCACTCTGGGAGGCTGAGGTA